CCCTAGCAGTCCGGGTTCAAGTCCCGTCAAGGACAAGCACAAGAAATTTTACACGCATGCTCAGTACTGGTTGGTTCCATGTGTGTCTATAAGCTTATATTTTTCTATATGATCAAACTAAAACAAAATATCCAAGATCCCCTTGAAAAATAAGTTGTTATTTTTGAGTAGTGCATGGAATTGCCCCATTCAACCATGGTTCTTTTATATACCCTCTGTAAAACTTTGGACTTGACATCAGTTTCTAAAGGCTCATCAGAAAGACAATATATATGTTTTAGTGATGGAGTGGGGGATTGAACATGCAACAAAAATCTGCCCCTCCAAGTTTCCTCTAACCAGCAAATGCTTTTTAACTTTGCCAAATACAAAATTCTTATAGCTCAAATGAGAGGACATTCCTTAAGTCCAATGTTTTAAATCTGAATCAACACTAATAAAATGCCAAGTATTTAAAACTGTTTAACTGTCTGTGTCATTTAAAGTTATAATTTAAATCTAAATATTCAATACACACAATACACATGACAAATTGTCAAGACAACCTAATCACTGTTAATAACATTAATAAGTGTATCACCTGTCAAATTTTCTATCTTACAAGACAGTATCTATAATTGCTGCTGTTTGTATATTTCATCTGAGATACCAGTTAAAGAATTAACATCATTGTACTTTGACTTTTTCCCTTTTTTTCTGAAATTCTTTAAGCATACAAAATAACAGATTGTGATATAAATCGAATAATCTAATCTTGTCTTGTCCAATTAACAATGAAATCTAGTCTACTCCATTGACAAAAATTTCAAGATTAAAATTTTCAATTCATCCCCACAACATGAAACATAAATACTTGACTTAATAAAATAGTTGCCCTAAAAAGCAAAACGAACATCCAAAAATCAACACAACTTGATATTTGCTGCAGAAATGTTTAGAGATTTTCTTGTAAGAAATTGTTTATATATGACAAACAGATAAACCAAGTGTGGTTCAAACAGCCAGTGTACACCATGAAGGTTGACCACAAATGCAAACAGGAGCTAAAAATGTCAGCCTACCATATGACCTAACCTCTGCCAATATATAGATTCAAGAATATATGCCTATGTGCAAATCTATAAATACTAGAATAGTTTCAATATTCTGAACAACAATTCAGCATATACTTTATAATGAACTTTACAAATATTGTTAAATGTAATATGTGTGTTTGCCAAGATTGTACAGCGAGCATAAATGCACCTAGAAACTGGGTCATGAGAAAGCTGATCATAATCAGTGGTGTATTGTATTCAAGCAGTATTGACTAAACACACAGCTACTACACACCTAAGTATGTCTGGTCTATCTTCAGCTCGCTGTAGCTAAAAATAGCTCGCCTCTTATAAATAATGAATTTTCAGCCTTGTTATGAGGCAGAGAGTCACAAAGGAACATAGCAACTGTCTCTCTGTAACAGATCAATGACTTCTTTAAGCGGTAATATTTACAACACACAACCTTCATTATTCTACAATAAAACATCACTAACTAACAATGTGCACATAGATAGACTAGCTGACAAATCTACTGTTTTCTATATTGGTAACTGAATGAGATGGATTTTTTCATATTTCTCAAAAAAGAAAAGACCGTACACAATCTGGTAAATACTCTAAGACCATCTGTCAATATGTTTTGTTTTTTCCCAAACGGTTCAAAATAAAATATTCACATTTAACAACCACAAAAGAAACAATCTAACAATATGTACCAACATTGTTGAAAATGAAAGAGAATGTATCCTGGTTCTGTGATGACACACCAACCTGCACATCGATCCTACATCTAACCTGACCATAGAGATCTGCTTCAAGATTACTGTTCAGTATTACATAACTGCTGAATTTCTTAGCTTCCATTTTTTTGGAACTGTCATTTTATATCAAATTTGAAGATATTAAGATGAAAATGATGATCAGCTATGGTCTGCCAACAGTATACAACCATGATCTGCCAACAGTATACAACCATGGTCTGCCAACAGTATACAACCTGGTCAGCCATGGTCTACCAACAGTATACAACACTGGTCTGCCAACAGAATACAACCTGGTCAGCCATGGTCTACCAACAGTATACAACCATGGTCTGCCAACAGTGTACAACCTGGTTAGGCATGGTCAGCCAACAGTATAGAGCCTGGTAAGCCATGGTCTGCCAACAGTATACAACCTGGTAAGCCATGGTCTCCCAACAGTATACAGCCTGGTGAGCCATGATCAGCCAACAATATAGATCCTAGTAAGCCATGGTCAGCCTGGTTAGCCAACAGTTTACAACCTGGTAAGTCAACAGTTTACAACCTGGTAAATCATGGTCAGCCAACAGTATACAACCTGGTAAACCATGGTCAGCCAACAGTATAGAGCCTGGTTAGCCACGGTCAGCCAACAGTATACAACCTGTTAAGCCATGGTCAGCCAACAGTATAGAACCTGGTAAGCAATGGCCAGCCAACAGTATATAACCTGGTCAGCCAACAGAATACCGCCATGGTCAGCCAACAGTATAGAGCCTGGTCAGACTGCAGGGATGTGCATGTTGACTCTATACTCAATGGCTGATCACTTTTGGTACAGCAGGGTAAGGGTTAATAAAGGATTACATTTAATTCAGGACAAGCCAATTTTATAGACTTGAGGGGGTAAAAATTGCTATTAAATATTGTATTACTACATCACATACTTCCTGCAAGAGAATTAATTTAACCTATCAGTCTGTTCTGATCTACAATGAAAAAAACTTTATTTCTCCACGAGGTGTGTCCGTGTTAGTTAAAACAAGATTGCCGTTACATTAAAATAACCTATGCAAAGATTCACTGTGTAATCACTTTTAAACCTTATTACTCTATAAGTTTATATATCTATATATATCAAATATACACATTAAAGATTATTTAAATCACTCCTTGTAAAAGAAGATCTAATTTTTTCTGCCTATTCACTGTCTTCAAATATGTCAAAATCTTATTTACCTAGTCAAAAGCATTTTATTTTCATATTTTAATGAGAATCAATTCGAATTTACCCTTCTGTATGCATAAGCCGGTATGTAAATAAAGATAAGCTGAGCTGTTGCTTAAAATAGAAGCAATTTATCTAAAATTAGAAGTAATTTATTCAAGTGATGGATGAAAAGAACGTTTTTAAATCTCACATAATTGATATACTACTTTCTATCTAAAAGTGGCAAAAACTTGAGTAATAACTCTTTGTAGTATAAAAATGATATCAGCTAATAAGATGGTTGTGAGCATTCTGTACTATTTAAGATTATATTATACTGAGTCAGTACAAACCAGCATAATGTGATGTAGAGAAATTTAAACACAAAAGTTATGTTTTTGCAACCAGTATAAAGCCATTCCAACCATCACTTCTGTGTAATATGACCATGATCTACACTGATACAGTACCAAATTCAAAAATTATTTCTTGATAAATTGATACTGGACAGTTTAAAACTGAAGTTGGACAAGTCCATTCAAGACATTCAGCAGGTAAATGGTTAAATTTATAGTAAACTCACCTTACAATAACACTTTTTGTTCACACAAATACTGTTTCTAAATCATGTAACAGTTTGTCACATTTAGATTCCTCTAATGAAATTCATATGATTTTGACCTATATGACTGAATGTCTGTTTGACATATATGTAGATAAGAAAAGAATCTTATATTAACTTAACTCACATTCCAAGTTACAAAGTACATATGATGTAAAAAGTCTATCACTGTACATGTGGTTTTTGTCATAAATCAGTCAAATTCCATGCAACACTTATAGGCCTTGGACTGTGACCTCCAATTATAATCCTGAATACATGTAAAAAGCTTCAGTTAAGACTTGCAGTAGTGATGTTGCAACAGGAAAAAGTTAAATCAGTCATATTTTTAGCATCAGTTATTGACCTCTTATTACGATTATTAAGTTTCAAATGAGTACCTTTAGATGTTTTGGCGATTGACATTGCATGCAAAACCAAACAGGAATTAACAAAGGTCTATAAATCAGTTAAAATTAATGCCAGGGTTACGGACCTTGCATAAAAAGACATCTAATTATAATCTCTAAGACATGTTATAAAGTATTAAATTAAAGTGAATGCCTTCAGTTGTTTTTAAGATTGATGCTGCATGCAAAATTTTAACTTACAATAATCTAAGTTTACAAAGGGCCCATAATTCAGTCAAGTTTAATGCCTTGGATAGTGACCTCAAATTATGACCCTGAAGACATTAATTATAAAGTACAACTTAAATTCTAATGTTGCATGCAGAACTTTAACCAGGAATTGCAATGGTACAAAAGGTCTTTATTCTATCATAATACATGCTAGCGATGGTGACTGCTTATTAAGATCTAAAAGACATGTGAAAAGATACAAGCAAATATATTTCCTGGATAATGAACATGAAGTAGACATCAAGTGTTAGGTTGATGCCAGGGTGGGCAGAACATTACAAATGTTTTTTGAATAGTCATACTATTAAAAGCATAAACAGACTTTGGCAATTTTAGACAGATTTAATTATATTTGTGAGGATGACTAACATCATAAAACGTTGTTAGGTAAGATAATTTAGGTTATTTCTACATTTCTGTATTAAATATTAAGCTACCCTTTTGTACATTTACTTTCATTATGTAAGCATGTCAAATGATCATTTTATATATACCAAAATATGACCAGACCTTCAGCAATGCTGGTTAAACATGCAAGTGGGCAACTTGCACTTAGTGATGACCACAAATGATGTTAAGCAATCTAAGGTATTCAGTCTTGTCCTAGAGTTGCAATGCTATAAACAGGAATGCCTGTAAATCATGCCAATGTTTATTAATCAGGATATTTGCTAAAAAACTCTTTCAATTTATTCGTAAGAAATAGATAGCACTGTCTATCAACCCGGAGACTGGCTACAACTAAGTATTAGAGTATAAACTTACTATTGGGCACAGTCAATAAGCTGGTATTCATTGGACCTCTCAAAGCAGGTTTGTACACCCTTATCCTTCCATAAAATCTCTGTGTGTTCATAGAATTCCTGTAACGAAATAAAATAACCGATTAACATATTGTACACACCATCATATAGCAACTAGAATTTAACAATTTATATTCTTGAAGACATGTAAATAAATTATATATATATTACTAATAAAGAGCAATCATCTTTCCCATCATCATCATCATCATCATCATCATTATTCTAGAAGACTATAGGTTTATCAAAAGTAACATATTCCTGTCATGTGACATTTTGAAGAAATTAAAGGATACTGGATTGTAGAATATGTGAATTGTGTCGCCATTATTTGATACCATGCTCTGAATACAAGTTTGGCGTTCATGTACAACAATGCTGGACCTTCTCAATAGTTCTGGTCATTATATTTTAAATATTCAATGGATGACAGTTTTACTGCTTATGTTAACACATGGTAAAGGAATTAAATTTCCATGATCAGCTTTTCTGTATTATCATGCCAGTGTGGACATATCAAACAAGGCATATATCAATAATAACTTTGAAGGAAACAGGCAGTTTTTTTTCTCTTGAAGTGACTTATATTTATAAGATTAATCAATGATATTATTAGCTATAGAAGTTGCTGACAGGATATATGGGAGAATATAGCCTGAATGAGCTAAATATGACCAAAAGCACTAGCCGAAGGTTATATTTATGTCAACATGGCTATATTCTATGAAATGTATCCAAAGCCTTTAAGTAAATCAAAATTCGAGAAATTTATTTGCAATATTATAAATTATGATTTATTAAATCAACCAAATTTCAGTCTTTAAACCAGTGATTTTTCTCGCTTTATTGGGAAGAGGCCTTAGCCTCTTGACTTTGGGAAAAATTATCGCTAAAATTGCTAATTTGGGAAGAAAAAAGCAGGTTTAAGTTCAGATTTTTGGGAAAACTGCATGATTTTAAAGAAAATTTCAATTGGGAAGAGGCCCTTTTTTGGAGTCTGTTATATAAGTAGAAAAATCACTGTAAACATATATTTTGCTCTGTGATAAAACTCATTGTCCTGGCTTCCTCTGTTCTTACTATCCATATTGATGTAATCAATAATTGTACAGAACAATCATCAACATTGGGACATGCCATATCAAAATACTGTACCATTGTTAATCTTTTATATAAACAAAACTAAGACTTTTTAACCAAAAGTGATTAGCCGTTACTACCAGTACAGAGCCAGGCCAACCTGCTCATTTATGAACATGAATAATACTGAAAAATTGGACTACTTTATATTGACAATTCTAAGAACAAAAACTTTTATACATATTTAATATGGAAAATTGTTATATTGACAAAAGCATAACTATTTTGCATGGTAAATAAATATTATATGCACTACAAATACAATTAAGAATACGAGGGGCATATATAAAGCATTAATCAGTGTGAATTTTTACCGTTAATTTGAGCGTAATTGGTACATATTATACATGTATGGAAAGGTAAGACTGTCCTCTACAAATTATATGCATGAGGAAACCGTGAAATACCTAGGCAGTGAGCGAAATGTTCACTTGAATCGACTACAGTCAGGTACACTGCTGTTGAAAATGGCAGAGAAAGAGAACAATTCAAAACGAACAAAGAGTGTGATGTAAAATTCGCGCATTGCTTGGAGTTGCTGCACCTGATATTAAATCAGACTTAGACATGGTTTATGGGGATAGTGCCCTATCGTATTCCACGGTTAGAAGATGGGTTCGACTTTTAACCTCCGGTAGGGAGACTACAAAAGACGAGGTCCGATCTGGTCGTCTAGTCACAACAATGACGGACAAAAACATTGCTGCTGTTAAAAAAGTTGTTGAAGATGATGCCCACTGTACAGTGGAGGAGATAGGTGATTTATGTGGCATTAATTTGTCATCGGTTTTTCAAATATTAAAGTTACGCAAGGTTTGTGCCCGGTGGATACCCCACCTTCTCACTGAGGACCAAAAAATGGGAGCGTCTGCCAATTGCGTCACAGCTGCTAGATAGGTACAAAAGTCAAAATTGCTGACCAAAACCGTATGAATGAAATTGTGACTGGTGATGAAACATGGGTCTATTTTTATGAGTCTGATGAAAAAGAAAAAAATAAGGTGTGGGTCGGTGAAAATGACGACCAGCCCCAAATTGCCCATAGAGCTCGCACCTCAAAACACATTATGTATGCATTATTTTTAGATTGCCAGGGAATGGTGGCTCGAATTCCTATACCAGATGGCAGGGGTGTTATCAAGAGTCAGTTCTTTCTGCTGTTGTTAGTCACAATACTACAGCCTGTCCCCGTACCGGCGTACGCGGAATCAAACTCCTGCATGACAACACACCTGCCCACAAGTCGGTAGCGCGCTTTTCCAGTGTCTAAACACTATACCCAAAGAGGCCTACAGAAAAGCATTTTTCAATTGGATTTGCGCTTGGAAAAGTGCATCCAAGTCGAAGGGGAATACTTTGAAGGAATGGTCTAACATTTTCCATACAAATATAACGTCTACGACTAAAGCACCACACTGATAAATATTTTATAAATGCCCCTTGTATTAAAAACATATATGGACAAAACTAGGATTATTTAACATTAAAAGAATTTACTACAATCATTTCACATGGGTAAAAATTTAACAGTTGTAACTCAAAATTAATCTTTTTAACAAGTAAAACTTATAAATGGACCTATCTACAGGGTTATTTAACATATAAAAATCTTTTACACACAGACAAAACTAAGACTTTTTTTCATGGACAATTTTAAAATGGCTATTTAACATGAAAAACATTCATATAATATGGACTAAGACTTGTCAAACTAAGACTTGTTAACAAGGAAAACTTTTATATGGACAACAGATAATTGAACATGTTATATGGACAAAATGAAGACTATCTAACATGGAAACTTTCATGGACAAACTAAGACATTTTAACAAGGAAATCTTTATATGACATGGAAAACTTTTCTGCATGGACCATAAGACTATTTAACACAACATTAATGACTTTTTGAGAATTGTAAATGTAAATCAGTGTATAGTAAGATCTGATCCAATTCAAATTATTTGAAAATAAGGATCAATATCTAATTGACAAAGTAATATCCTTTATACACCAATATTGATTAAATCAATTATTTCCCTTCAAATAAATATTTCAATGAAAGAAAATTCGCAAGACAGACTTTCTTATTTTTAGACCATGATATAGTAAATAATAACATTTAGGATTTTTTAGTCCTTAAGTTTCTCCCCAAAGAAAAGCAATATATTAATATATAGAGGTTATTCAATTTTTTTCTATAAAAACAGTATTTATTTTCATCGAGTGTATAAAAATAAATATTTCATGAGTGGCGGTAGCCACAAGTGAAATATGATAATTTTCATATCACAATATGAAAATAAATCCTGTATTTGTAGAAAAAAATTGAATTTTCTGTTTATTATATACATTTTTCTCTTTTTTTGACATCAAAATTTGAAAGTCTTTCCCTTAAATTATGTATATTGGCTGAATATAGCAAAAAGGAGTCAGGTAAGACACAAGTGAAAATACAGAAAATATGTTTCACTGAAGTGAAAATATGGAAAATGAAAATTCATATTCTATTTCATCTATATTTCTCAATATTTCATTTATAAGTACATAATAAATCAACTTTATTAGAAAGGGATATAATTTTTAACAAGGACTCTTTTTCTCTCATTTTCTATAATGGTCTTGGTCTGTGGGTGCAAAATGACAACAAATACAATTTTCCAGAATGAAAATGAACAAGGGAATGTTAAGCATGATAATGTAAAGGGTAAGTCACAAGAGGCATTGTATGGCCTCATACTACTATTGCATGCACACATAATATCTATTGCATGGCATTGAATGTAAAAGGTATCACATACTCATGTAGTCATTAAAGAAATTTCCTCTGGCCCCTTTATGCCTCAGTAGTTAAGACTTAAGCCACAGCAAAAAGCAATGAGTCTAGATATCAGTAACTTGCAATTACATGTAAAGTTCTCAAGACATACATTGTGAAGTTTGTGATCATCACATTCCATGGTTATGAGTATTGATCTTACAAAAAAACATAAACTAGAAATGTGTCATCATGCCACGGATGCCCCCGCATGCAGCCAAAATTTCAGATGTTATAATATTTAGTTCCAAATTTGTTTGCACAAATTATTGTTTTCATTTTAAGTTCAAAGCCCTTAAAACTTTTCAACGTTTACACAAACCATTTTCATACAATGTTCAAGGCACTGAAATTATTCAGTCTTAACCTTTTGAAAATAGCATATTTCATATTTGTAGCCAAAATAATGGCTACATACATTTCCACAAAAGTATGAGTGCTGAAACTGAAAGTTCAAATTTTTTCAAATATTCAAGAAAGATAAGTTTGTCCAAAATCATTGAACCATGACCAAATTCAAACTTAAACTGCTTATTCCTAAGATGTATCTATATTATTTTCAAAGTGAAAGGGACATAACTCTGCCAAAAAGTCATCGAACCATGACCATATTCCAACTTGACCTGCCCATTCCTTTGACATATCCATATGTCAAATTTGAGTTGAATATGTAACACTGTTGGGTAGATAATGAACAGAAACTGTAAATTTCATATTATTTTCAAAGTGAAAGGGGCATTACTCTGCCAAAAATCATTGAACCATGACAAAATTCGAACTTGGCCTGGGCATTCCAAAAACATATCCATATGGTGAAATTTGAGTTGAATGTGTTGTACTGTTGGGGAGATAATAAACAGAAACTGAAAATTTCATATTATTTTCAAAGTAAAAGGAGCATAACTCTGCCAAAAATCATCGAACCATGACCAAATTCAAACTTGACCTGTATTTTCTCATGACATATCCATATGTCAAATTTGAGTTGAATGTGTTGTACCGTTGGGGAGATAATGAACGGAAACTGAAAATTTCATATTATTTTCAAAGTAAAAGGGGGATAACTCTGCCAAAAATCATCGAACCATGACCAAATTCGAACTTGACCTGTATTTTCTCATGACATATCCATATGTCAAATTTGATTCGAATGTGTTGTACCGTTGGGGAGATAATGAACGGAAACTTAAAATTTCATATTATTTTCAAAGTAAAAGGGGCATAACTCTGCCAAAAATCATCAAACCATGACCAAATTCGAACTTGACCTGTATTTTCTCATGACATATCCATATGTCAAATTTGATTTGAATGTGTTGTACCGTTAGGGAGATAATGAACGGAAACTGAAAATTTCATATTATTTTCAAAGTAAAAGGGGCATAACTCTGCCAAAAATCATCGAACCATGACCAAATTCGAACTTGACCTGTATTTTCTCATGACATATCCATATGCCAAATTTGAGTTGAATATGTGCAACCGTTACTAAGATAATGAACGGAAACTGATGATGACGGAATGACAGAATGACGGAATGACGGAAGGACGGAAGGACGGAATGACGGAAGGACGGAACAGGGTAACACTATATGCCCCGGCCATTACATGGCGGGGGCATAAAAAACAAACAAGAGCTGTCTCAACTATTCTCAGTGCTAACTAGTAAAACAACAGCCGTGCTAATATAGAATTTTCCAAGTTCAAAAAGGGCCATTGTTTTATCAAATATATTCATGTTAAGAGTTTAAAGGCCTTGGATAGTGACTTCCTTTTATGTTCCCAAATAAGTGTATTAAGTTTCAACCTATTAGCTTCAGTAGATTGAGTGCTAATAATGGTGGATCCCAGGCTGTAACCTATAATTACAATCCTGAAGACATTGTGTCAGTTTCAAATGAAAATCTTTTGCACTTTATGAAGTCATAAAGCCATTTATGAATAAAACCAAGAGACCTGATTAGGTCCACTTTTTCTTGAAAAGTCCAGCATATTATGTTTATTTTATTTTTTCTCTTTATATTTGTTTCGAGACTTTTCTTGCTTTTTCACGATGCTTTTGCAGCAGTGCTTATAAATTCATAAATAAGAAAACAATATCTAGAATAGAAATAACTACATTTTACAAATACAAAAACTGGAGAGTAAAATATGATGTTCAGCATGTCACTGAGAATTACACAGACTTATCACATATATCCATGAAATAGTCACTACAGTGAAAAATATTGAAACAAATTTATGAGAATCTATAAAAGGAATTATGCACAGCTTTCTGCATCAATATATTTATGGTTTCTCTATTTTAAGAGTTGGTAAGCATTAGTTTGCCAGATAAACACTATTATTAGGGGATATATGTATCATTATTTAGCACAGGAACAATATCTTTACTTTGGTAAACAACGGATTTCTTACATGCTATTGATTTTTTCATAGTATTACAGTACACTGGATTTAAACTTATTCTAACATTGTGCAGAAATACTGAGAATTGTATTTTAATAGAAAGTTTTGCTCATGTACAGTGACCTAACGAAACACCATATAAAGTATTAAATGAATGAAAATGTACTGTTTCTTCAAGGCTTAGTGAAGCACTTCACACATACAAATGTATAATTGGAAGTCAATTTCTAAGATAATAAATTCAGTTAAGTTGATGAGACCATATAAATTGCAATTTGAAAATATTCAAAATAATCTATGCAATAAGCTTGTTTCACTTTACCGTTTGTAATTCAATATATTTTTTTACACTACAAAAACAACATGATCTTCCAGTTTAACAGCCAGACCTTATCTTTTAATTACTTACAAATTTCAGCATAAATCAGGACTGAGGCACTTACTCAAGATGACCATATAAAGAAGAAAATTTATTGAGTTTATATTCAATTTCAAATGAATGAAGTTTCTTAGTATTATGAATCTTAGTGCATGGCCAAGTGGGTAACTCCTCAAACTAGTAATCTAAGGATCGCTAGCCGTGTGGGTTTAAACCCTGTCAGGAACAAGCTTTTATTTCATTGAGCAAGGAACTTAGCACTAATTGTTCAATACTGGTTGGTTCCAGGACCAGATTCCAAAGTGTGTCTTTAGGTTTAAAGATTCCTTTACAATCAATTAATAAGCAAAATTCAATGCTACTAAATATTTTATTCAGATATAAAGTTACTGTTCTTATACAGTGTATCACTCTTAAATGAAATTTTAATGTTGATATCTAAAAAGTTTAAGATTTAAGGCCAAAAAAAATATGAGCGCCACTTGAGGTGTTAAAAAGGGGCATAACTCCAGAAATATTGCTTCCAAAATAATGCCCCTTGTCTAACAACTGCATCTTGTCATGATATGCAAGTATTCAAAGTTTCATCATCATGTAGGTAACTTTTGAATTATTTGAAGTATGGGCTTCACTGAAAATTTTTTACAACGACACAACTATCATATTAATTTAATAGCTCCTCTTTTCTTAGAAACAGACAAGCTAAAAATGTGAAGGATTTCAAAGGCCAATAATAATGATATGTAACCACATATATGTAAAATCCTGAGGTCTTTTAACATAAAAGGACTTGTAGGACCCCTACACTTAGTGTAACTTTTTCCAATACAAGCAGTAATGTTGAATAACCCTTGAGCACTACATGCTCAGGTGAGCTAAAAGGGAAATGATATGATTTTAACTTTCATAAGTTTCTAAGAAAATGCATAGACCCGTCTATCATTTTAGATCTAAAATATGACACTCCTGGCTTTTAAGTGAAACATATTCCTTACACATTTTAACTGTGAATCTTAAAAAAAATACATTTATGAATGGATGCCATGGTAACATATATTTTTGCACTAAAAGCCAATATGGGGGGCATAAAACAACATTCTATCTATAACATGTTCTATCTATAACATGAAAATGTATATCTAATTAAGGATTTTGTGACATTGTACTTTTCCTATTACGAAGAATGAATGTGTTACTTACCGGAGGATAAGAGAAGTCTGGATCCATGGTTTCATTTTGGATATAATCTACCCGGAATTGGTTCTTCGGATTTTCTAAAAGTGCTGGTGGGTTAAGTACAGACATGGCACCTGTAATTGTCTAAAATAAACAAAATATAAATCAATTAGTGAATTGAATCCATAATATAGATTTTATTTTCAAGAATCTTGAGAAAATTCCATATATTTTCATGAGCCCTTTGCTTCGCAATTGCAATGTACACATTGCAGTACTAATGTATGAATATTTAAAAATGTATGACACAATTCAATGCTGGCATCTTGAAACATGCCGTAAAAACATATCCCTAATTGATCAATTTTGCAATTAGAGTTGTTTTGTCCATGTACAGTCATTATTGTCAATTGATGAAGTTATCACATTTAAGACAAAATTCAATAATTTAACCTTAATGGTCAAGGTCATTTTTTAGGTCAAGTGCAGTTGGCAGTTTGGTTTTATGAAACTCTAGAACAGTAAAGGTCATAAGGCAACTTTCCAGCTTTACTGATTGAGGAAGATCTGAGCAAAACTTTTTGGCTTAACAAACACCTCAGTAGAGTTAGCTAGCTGGATAACTTCCTCACATAAAACAATGTCTAAAAAAAGGGTCACAATCAATTTGGTCATCTTGAAGGTCTTGTGCAAATAATTGCTGTGTATAAGTTGATAGCAAAATAAGAAAATCAAGCAAAATTCAAAAATTTGACCACCGATCAAGGTCATCAATGACTCAAGGTCAAGTTCAATTTGGTCTTCTTGAACTTCTTGTCTAAAGGGTTGATGTGTTGAACTATTACGAAAAAAATTGTGACCAATGATAAAGTTTGTGAACAGCAACAGCAATGGAAATGACACAATGATTGTAGCAACCTTTTTTAAAAAAGTCAAGTTAAGTCTTGGGCTGAGGCTTATTGTGAAATGAAACTGTCATGACTCTATACTGGTGGAAAATTGGCTTATCATATAAAATCCTTAACCATAGCAACACAAACACTTTTACAAAGTCAAATAAACTTAACTGAAAAATCAGATTTATTTCACTGGTACTGAAGGACAGACATTCTCAAAAACAAATACTTTCAGCCACTACCAATTTTCAGCCATAGAAATGAAAATAATAACCATATACAAGTTACAGACATATATAGATAAAATGTTATCTGTTGTTTTGGCTGCCATTTATTATTTTGTTCACATGAGCAGACAACACCAACTCAAGAAGATATGACAGGAAAAAAGGTAGGAAGTTGCCAGTGATTTTACAAGGAAGGAAGAGACATTGTTGCAAAACATGCATTACTATTGATCTCTGTGCTCATTACATTCACAATCAATAAACACTAGCTTGCTGTTAGGTAAATGCCCACTTGCTTCTTTTAATGGAAAAAGCTAAGGAACATACCCTGTAAATTATCCACTATATATACTAGCTATAATCAAAAAATCAGTTTTCTAATCAAGTTTATTAGAGATGTATAAAGCTTTCTTTGCATCTGTTATAGATGCAGGCATTCAGCAGATAAATCAATAATGTTAATATTTCTTCAGAGAAAAATATTCTTAAAGTCTACAACTCTTATGTTTGGGCAGAGCAATAGCAATATAACCAGGAGCATTTTATACACAGTAAAAGGGGACACCTGGCAGGACTTACACCATTTGACTAGGGGTATCAGTAAATAACCAGGAAGGTTTTATTAACTATTACAGGAGACACCAGTAAATAACCAGGGTGGTTATATATACTATTACAGTAGACACTAGTAAATGACCAGGAAGGTTTTATCACACTAGGGGCTACCAGTATATAACCAAGAAAGTTGTATACATCATTACTGTATACAGGAGGAACTGAAGTAAATAACTTGAAAGGTTTGAATAGAAGACAACAGTATATGACCAGGAAGGTTTTAAACATCATTACAGAATGCCAGTAAAAACTCAAGGAGTTTCATTACAGTGGAGCAGGCAGGTCTTATGCATCATTACAGTGGAAACCAGTTTATAATCATATTTATAACCATAAATAATCAGGAAGTTTGTTATAAATTTATTTTTAAAATCCATTTAATTTCATGTATTACACAAACACTGTCAAGATCATTTGACATCTGTCCAGCGAAAGTGGTGAAGACACATTGTGCATTATTTCAGACACGCAGGAGCTAGCTGAACAACTCCTTTACATAAAATCAAATGTTACATGCAGAATTCAAGCCCATAGTGGTAAAAGGCAAATAACCTTAAAGAAAACTAGAGGTACCTATCTGGTTGACATGATTTTTTTATTGGGCTTTTAGTCACACAAATTCAAAAGTCCTTCTGGGACTTTTAAGATTCTTACTCACTGAGCAAGTAATTAGAAGTTTTAGGTACTTTAACATTCAACCAGTAGTGATAGCCTTTGCCTCTATTGTAGACCACTTTGCCTCTATTGTAGAGCCAGGCCAGTCTGCACATCTGTGCAGTAAGAGTAGGCTTTATATTGTTGACTGACAAACTTCATCTTTAATAATGGATAGTTTAAGGTAGGTCCGTTTAAAAAATTCAGCATATTAAGGTTTTGTCAGGTTTTTTCCAGCTATACTCATTACTGAAGTTGTTTACAACATAAGGGTAGATCAGAATATAAACGGGAAGATTTCATATGTATAGCAACCCAACAGTCAGGGCTAGACAATAACCCTAAAGAATTTAACATTGACATCAGTATATAACCAGGAAGCATTTTTGTATTCATGGGTGAATCTAACAATTTAACACAATACTGAATACTGAGGCATGATCACACAATTATAGTAGTATGACATACAAAATTCCAATGCACAAAACATTTAGTTCATAAATCCAGAAATCAGAATGATGCTTATAATTTAGAGTATAAGTAGTGAATAAAACAACCAAAGTACAAACAGCATGAGTTAGGAGGTACAGGACTTCATTCCATCAAAGAAGAAACTAAACTTGTAAGTTCTATGCCTGCTTACTGAGCAGTAATTGCGTTATAGTTGCAATGATATTATTCTGTACATCAATAGAAATGATACCAATAATTTTCTGTTGATTATCAATACAGATTTGAAACTGGTAATGTACTACATTGAACTGGTTTTTTTTTTCAGTCAACAGACAGCATAACAAGGGTAAGTCAAAAATCAATGATTTCAACACATTTTGTTTATTGGCTGATGTCTTCATCAGGGTCTGATCAAGGGTTTGCGATGCCCAAAACCCAGGCTAAAAATATACAAGTTTGGAGTTTAAAATGTCATACTGTAGGGGCATCTGTACCCTATATACTCATTTTGTTGTTTCAAATATATATTGAAATTCCATCAACTAAAAAATATCAATGATACATCAATATGATTTCTATGGATGACAGCCCTAGTTAATAAACAGCAAAGAATTTAGGGCCAAATTAACACAAGTCTTTAGGACTAGTGTTTGGGAATAATTTACTTAGCATGAATAGGTTTTACCATAGGTAATCGGCACGTTGATTGGTCACTACCCCCGCACCCCCCTCCCCCCCCCCCACACCCCACTCTACAGCCCTCCTACCTCTCAAAACCATTGTAAAATACAGTATTTTTCATTTGAAACATGTTTTAATATATTTGGTTTTATGCTTTTAATTCAATAACCTTCATTTCCTACAAAAAATAAAAAATTGATACATATATATTTAGTAAAGGTATGCAACTCGCCGCTCAATTTTCAGCACTCATCTTAATATGAACTCCATAACTTCAACATTTTTTCACCAATTTTCAATATTTGGTACCAAATGGTAGGGAATTGATTACTCTTAAAGGAATTAAAGTTGTCATTTACAATCATTTCAAGTTATAAGAAGATATGTAATCTCGAAGTCACCGCAAGTGAACTCGACAGTGATCTGACCGCTGGGTTTTCTTTCAAAATTACCCGACTAAACGGCAGTTTATTCGAAATGAATGCATATTTCATTGTATTGCGCATATAAATATGATCAAATTATATTATTATTTGTAATAACTGTTCAATCAAAACAGCTAATAAAACTATAACAAAACCTTTTTTCCGATATGCCAAATTCTCCAATCCAAAATGAAAGTACACATGTATAAACGGAAGCATTCGTATGGAGTATTTTCATTGGTCGTATGAAAACCTTAGACCAATGAAAAAATACTCCGTACAAAAAATGAAGGGGAGAGCACTCTGTAGAACTATTACTTGCATTATAATTTGGAATTTAACATATAGAAAAAAGGTTTGTTATAGTTTTATAAGATGTTTTGATTGAAGAGTTATTACAAATAATAATATAATTTGATCATATTTATATGCGCAATACAATGAAATATGCATTCATTTCGAATAAACTGCCGTTTAGTCGGGTAATTTTGAAGAAAACCCAGCGGTCAGATCACGGTCGAGTTACACTTGCGGTGACTTCGAGATGAATATCTTCTAATAACTTGAAATGATTGTAATGACAACTTTAATTCCTTTAAGAGTAATCAATTCCCTACCATTTGGTACCAAAATATTGAAAATTGGTGAAAAAATGTTGAAGTTATGGAGTTCATATTAAGATGAGTGCTGAAAATTGAGCGGCGAGTTGCATACCTTTACTAAATATATATGTATCAATTTTTTATTTTTTGTAGGAAATGAAGGTGATTGAATTAAAAGCATAAACCAAATATTAAAACATGTTTCAAATGAAAAATACTGTATTTTACATGGTTTTGAGAGGTAGGAGGGCTGTAGAGTGGGTGTGGGGGTGAGGGGGGAGGGGGGTGCGGGGTAGTGACCAATCAACGCGCCGATTACCTATGGGTTTTACAAGCCCAAAAATATATATAACTTTTAAAGCTAAATGTAAAGTCAAGTATAATGATAAATACAGTTTTCTAATTATATTCCATGAAAAAGTTGTTCCTTTTTTTAAATTCACTAATTTTATTTTCAGAAAATTAGGTGATCAACTGCTAATATTTCATCTATAGGCCAGTTGGGCTAGTGAGTCGTGACCTGGAAAATTCTACAGACTGACCCAAACTGTACTAGCCATGCGCTAGTAGGCTTTTGAAACAAAATTCTAACACCAATTAGAGGGTCTTGACAATAGCTGTTTTCCTTCTCCAAAGAGTAGAGCTAATAATATATAAATTAAATAATATCATAATAATCTTACACACAGAACATGCATTATATTGAAATGGAAGCCAACAAAAGTGTAATGCACCCTTTTTTGTGCAATAACATCTGGAGAAACAAGATGCCACATTTAATTATTCAAAATGACATTTTGCCCATGCAAGTGCAAATGGTCAGTGAACAGGTTAAAATCAAAGTAACTTGACATTTTGCCATAATTGTGCTGAATTTGATATTTTACATGATCAACAGAAATTTTCTATAAATATCATTCAGAATGTTTAGTTCATTAACAGAGTGGAGCAGTCTTCTTATAATTTACGTTTTGTTATATTAGTGGGGCAGTCTTTATAGCTTGTTGTTATATTATATCATTTACATGTTTTATTATCAATAATAGTCAATCTTTTTAAATAAATTGCTAATTCAACTAAAATTGACAGCAAAAAAATCAGCATAAAGTCACTTTTAATATGTCCAAGGGCTTCTGCAGATCTATGGTAATGAAAAAAGTGCATTAGCCCTACTTTTGCTTATTGGTGGTATTCTTCTTTGTTGATGTATCCTGTACACACAATTTTGATGCTGGTGGTATGAAAGTTAAATTTTCATTCATTTTGAGAATTTAGAAATAAATTTTCACATAACTCCAAAGGGAGAAATACTCCTTATATTCAACTGTTCATTACTTTATCATTTACATTTACTGTGTCAGTCATCAACTTACTGAACCAACTATGTCACATGAGATATAAACAAACTGTCAGTAAGACAATAATACAACATGCTCGTATTCTCAGCGCTTCACAGAAAGAAAAGGGGAATAAATGTAAAAAGAAATAACTCAAGAGTTATGTGACCTATACCCATTATGTTAAATAATTGCAGAGAACAAGTCAAAGTGTGTGAAGTTTCAACTCATTTCCCTCCGTAGTTTTAGAGACACCAACTTGCAAGCAAAAACTTTACCAAAGTGTGACACCAACTCCATTTTGAGTACAACAATAGCTCTCCCTTTTGTTAGGATAGGGGGATAAAGAAGTCTTGTATCGTTGTTTGCAAGCGAACAGATTCTGGAGTTTACAAATATATCACTATGACCATAAGGGAAACATGTTGTTTTTGGCCATGACACAAAGTGTAAAGAACATCAAAAACTCAACTATCAGATTTCTGATCCTGAGTTAGAACAAGTCAGACAACTTGAGTTTCAACACTTTTTCTATGATAAGTAAATTTTCAATAATAAAATATAAACAATGTAGCAATAAAGAAATCAATCACTGGCCATGAAATCCTGAGGGTCATTTTCACTAAGTTTTACTGACTACAACATGTACATGGCCAAATCCCCATGATTTTAACAAAATTTGACCCTCCAGTTAAAATCCTGAGGGTCAAATCAGGCCTTTTAAAAATTTGGAGGGTCAAAGAGTCATTTCAAGATTCAAACAGACACCCTGAATAATGTAAGTAAATACATACCAGAATTGCATCTCTCACATTTCTTTTAATATCATCTATCCTTTGTTTTCTTTCACTGAAATATATATGGAAAAAATTACATTGTTGAAAATTAATAAATATTTTGCATATAACCCATTAAGATAACCTCAAAATTACATTCAAAATGACAAGGTATAATTTTTTTTTGTATCTTAAAACCAGAAGCAACAACAAAAACTTTGTCTGCATATGACTGGGCCTTTTGCAAATAGATGCCAAAGTAAATCTACATTACACTCTGCATCTTTTTTTAGCACCAGTAACCTTGACCTTAATTCATCAATTTTCAACATTCATTTCAATATCAATTCACAATTTGGAATATTGATACAATGTACCCATTTCATGAGAAAGGAAGAAAAACCAGTTATCTCCCTTTTGTCTTGGCTACCTTAATAGAATTATCTTATGAAATACTGAGAAAACATACTTTCATTTGGTATGATGTATTTTGTGATAAAGCTGTAACGATTTCTTTGAAACTTAAATATTTGCAATCCACACCTTGACAATTTGGGAATGGGCACTTGATTCAAACCTATGTATATAAAATATTCTTACAACTCCTTAATTTAAATAATGTATAAAACCTTAAAAAACTTTTGTTCACTATTTAATTTCATTTTTTTTATTAATTCCACATGCAATCATTAATTTTCAGCTGAAAGGTACTACATTATATTGGTGTCCGCGTGAATCACAGGGCCCTTGATCTACCAAAATAGCATGGTATGGATGCACCAGGAAGACTTTCCTCCTCAGAATGTTTCACAATAGCAAGTTGTAACAAAAAACCCAACTGATATCTAAGTGGTAGTTTATTGATATTTGACCAAAAAAAAAAAATGAAAAAATTCCCCCATACACTAAAATTCGTTGTGCTGAGGGTAGAGACCCACTTGCCCACTATTGGATTGAGAGCCCAGAATCATCATGTCTGAAATGTGAATCGACAAGCCACTGGTTCTCAATATTCAACCCTTTTTGTGACTAATTAAACAGGCATGCATAACACCATCATCATGGAATTATGACAGTTTAAATCATTAATTCAAATAACTTCCACTGTAATCTGTATTAGCTATTGTTTTGACTCCAAGGACTCAGAGCTTGGTCTTGCCCATTAAACTATGTACATGTATATGTGCTAGCTATCAGCTCTGAGACTCCTACTTCATACTTGATCAAAATTGTGATCATGAAAGTGTTAACAAAATTTCTTTTGAGGTATTGAGTATCGGCTTAAACTTTCATGGAAGATGACATAATGAATTGTATCCCGTGAATCATCGGCTAAATTATTTTGAATAAACTTAATTACGTTAATCAAGTTATTGATGACTTAATCTAGTGCATTAAGTTAATAAAATTTTGTTATCTGTAACACAGACCTAGTTTTTGACCCACAGTCAGTATAATTATAAGAACACCTAGAAATCATTAAAACATTAAAGATCATGACACTTACTTACATTTTTACTTTATTGAATTTTTTTATCACAGATGACCATTTTTCAAACTAGGCCTAGAAATTATTATGGGTATGCATAATGCAACATTCACAATTGATCAAAATATGGTCCACATTGCAATTGACCTATGGTACCAGAACATGTGTCAGCTGTTTTCAACTCAATATATAAGGATTCTTGAAAATAATCAAGAACAGGACAATTAGTGAAACATTATCTTTTCATCCAATTAAACGCATGCTCAATCATGTTGATTGATGGGAATGGGCAATTTTTATCAATGGTAAATAGTGTAAATGAGAAAATTAAAAGAAAACTGGCAAAAGAATAGGGGTTTTCACATGTTTTAAAACTTTAACAATGTATTTCTTATAGCAATTTATGATATCACCACTATGCTCGTTCATCGATCTGTCAATGTGACAACAATAATATAACATTCATGAACAATATTACTGCTTATCTAGTTGGTAGCTGCTTGTCCAATTATTATTTCATGCCTGATTTAGGTAACCATGAAAAAAAGTAAATTCCCAAATTTAGACAATATTACTAGGGGCTTATAACTAACTAAAACAAATTTCAATCATTAAGTTATTTATGTAAACATGTGACATGTGAAGTAATAGAATTCCATGCCTTCCAATTTATTGTTTTCTTATTTAATAAGGTGGGATGAAAGCATAAATACATATCTAATTAAGACATAGACGGATGTCAACTTGAACTATCACATAAAATAATTGGCCACCTTGACAAATCTGGTGTACAAGCATTGCAAATGAATGCATGATTGATATATGAATGTGGACAAATAACAGGGAGATTCTTTACTATTATGAAACAATTGGCATACATTTCTAGACTGAGTCTGAGAGATTTAAAATGACAGCTCTTGTCAAACAAAACAATGTCAATTCCATGGCTAATAACTGTTTTTCCTAAAGCTAAATTTGTTTTACAGTAAGATAAAGCAAGAAAACACTTACTCTGGGCTGAAGCCATCAACATGGAGAATTCTCATCTGTTTCACAATTGTAGACTTTCCTGACTCCCCGGCACCTAAGTAAAAGAAAAGTATTGAGGTTCATTAAGGGAAATTCATTATAATCCGCGAGACGAAATGTTGTGTATCTATGAAAGTTTAATGCCATTTTAAGCAAACTTACCTAATAACAGTAATCTATGAGTTGCCCTATATGTTTGCTTATCTTTTGCCAATTGTTTTTCTATCTTCTTATTAGTTTCCTTTCGTAATCTTTCTTCTTCATCCCCCGAGGTTTTTTTGAAGCACCCCATCTTGTGGACAAAATGGACGAAAATTCGTCTAAATATGAGGCAGTTCACACCATAAACGAATCCACCGTACTTCCAGTAATTCCAAACAGTATTCCGAGAATGCCCCGGCCCTTGCCTCCCGGGCTATTAGGAGGGTAATCCACACGGGAGCCCGAGAAAACTGTAATTAGTCATGAAAACAACACAAAACACCGGTTCGAAATTTCATTTTTCCAATCAAACCCCGACAGCATGGGTGGGGGTTTCGAAAAGCATCATAACCCCGAGTAAATTATAAAAGGGAAAAAATTTATGACATCAAAAAACAGGGGCGGTACAGAGTATCAAAAAGACCTAATCAAATTTTTCAGACAAATATTTGTCAGATTCCCCCTTTTTAAAAAGATACTGGACCAACTGCAAAAATGAAAAAAAATACTATTATTGTCACTCACATGCCTATAAATTGGAAGAACTAATAAAAGTAAAGATCATGTTAATTTGAAGTTTAATAGTCATTGACAACAAATCGAAATGCTTCCTCGACAGTATTGCCATTTGATGCTGTCTTTTTCAGGAAATTTTTGTTGTCGTTGGTGTGTCAAACCACGGATTTATATTACATATGCTGGGAACCTCTTCTTCGCTAAATAGAAAATGTATTGGTAGTTAACAAGCATGTTAAGAAGGAAAATATGTATAATAAATGAATGCTTAACATTAATTTTTAAACGTTTACTTATGCATTAATAAACTTATTTTAATTTATACTTTTTTGGAATAGACATATTTACATATGTAATAAATGTTAAAATTACTATACTTTATTGAAATTATTGACATTGGTAGTAATTTGTCTGCACAAATATGTTTGAACTGATTATACAGGGGCACAAACATAATAATTTATTACCCTTCCAGATTTTTTCCGCCTTTTTGATTGGATATTGATCACCCGAAAGAAATTGATATAACCAGCCAGACGGGTAATATACACACTAAATTTTCCCATTGGGTACCCAACGTTGTAAACAACATGCGCCCAGGTGATGCGCGTACGGTTCGATTTTACGCGGTGTAAATTCCGATTTACAAGCACTTTTTAACTGTCAAATGATAAATATTTACCAAAGTAGAGTAATGATACATATTACCATCAGTATTGAAAACAAATATAACCTTGTGAAAGCTTGAAATTAATTACAAAAAGGTGCGTTCAATAGACTACTCCTATCTCTTGTTTACATTCGTTAGGTACGGGAAAAATACGTCATGTATTTATGTGACGTCATGTTGTGACGAAGAGGTACCCTAAAGGGAATCTTATTTCGACGTTTCATTTGAAACAGCAATGATTTTTTTTAAAACCGTCTAAACTCGAGAGGGGAAGGGTAATAAAATTATTATTTTGGTTTTGGAGTGATATATGTGGATATATTACCTGCCAAGATAAAATATCACCCTGGTACATAATTAAAATCCCTTCGAAAAAGTACTTTTACTACTTTTACTACTTTAGAAGTTTTAATCGAAATATGCATGTATTCTGCCCCTTTCAAACTTACTCTACAAACAGATATCAATTATATAAATTTGTCAAGTCTTATTTTGACTTTAAGAAAAATGGTCGCTTCCTTGGGAAGAGATGAAGAGGAAAAGCATGTGTGATAAGACAATCTTATTGTTAAAAAGGAATCTCTCATATTATATGTTATTTTGGTTTTGGAGTGATATATGTGGATATATTACCTGTTAAGATTTTATATCACCCGAGCCGTTAGGCGAGGGTGATATTTTATCTTGGCAGGTAATATCCATTTGTAAATGTTTGGTCATGCTAGAAATGTTTGACATCTGTAATTACATACCAAAAAAAAAAGTTTAGAGAAATAAAAATGATAGCACTTCTGAGGAATAATGGGGGACTCTTTTTAAATTACACAATTTAATGTATTTTTACTTCATCTGAGAGCTGTTCATATGGTCTTTTATTTACCTTTTGAATATGATGCATATGATGAAAGCACTTTCGAACGTAATAAAATATCATTGAAATGTAAAGAGGTGTAAACTATGTTAATAATTATACTCATGAACGTTTTGCTTTAGTCCTCATGAATAAAAAAATTCAGCATTAACCATTGTAGAAAAGTATAATCGTCTCTAAATGGGATACCGAACATTGGCAAACACATTCTAACGACATTCAATATCGAGTTACATAAATATTCAAATTGTAAAATAATGATTAAATTCTTATTAATAAAGCGTTTGAAAGTTTGTATAAAGTAGTATTATTGATTTTATATGTTGATCCATTGTTTTGAATTTTCATAATGCAAGGTGGTTAACCAAAACGGCTACTATACGGTCAATTATACGATCTCTTACGTTTCTAAACATACACATACAAATCTCGAGTGTTGTAGGAAATATGCGGGAGGTCTAAAAATGGCATTTTTACATAAATACATTTTTTTATTTCATTTATATTTTTACCTAGTGAAACATATACAATCCCACGTTATGTATAAAGTATAAAAACTGAAGCAAAATTATGAAGTCCATGTGTAAATATTCAGATTGATGAGTGAAAACCTTTTATTATTTTCATTTGGGCTATCATTGGCATGACTAAGATAGTTTCCTGACCCTAAATCGACACAGTTAAGTATTGAGTTGAAATATTTTAATTAATACAGTGTAAAAAATTGAGTACATGTATTTCCAAGGTATTATGCGAATATAGCATTGGATACGTAGTGAAATTGGTTGGCATACTATTAGGTAAATATACGAATATTCTTTTCTAAACGTCTCTTACAGCGGATTGTTAGCTAGTATTATTTACGAAAACTAAAATATGAAAATATTTGATATTAACGTTACGACTGTATCCTTTTCGAAGCCGGTGTCTATTCACATCATTGCCGTTGTCATTGATTTCAGTATAAACATAATACTCGTATATTATCCACAGTTCATTCACTCCCTTTCTGCGGCATTTTTTCTTATAATTGTGTTCTGAAATTAAACGTGACAGACGTATGACTATCTTAATTGCTTTCTAGTCACGGCAAATGACAATTGTCACAAAAACAACGATCGACTTTGTTACAACGTTTAAATATGATCAGATTTAAACTATGAAATAACATATTGGATTTATGTTCTTATTTGAAAGTTTCAGCAACGTTGAACAATCATTGTCATTACAACGTTGAAAACCCACAACATTTCTATTTTAAATATTTCATTTGTTGTTGGATATTAAGTCAGAAAGGTTGTAAAAATAATGGCCTTATTAATCATGCAACATTTTAATTTATTTTATTTATGTGGAAATGGCATCACAAACAAACATCATTTGTATACGATTATTTTGTTTGCTTACAATTATTATAATATCTTATCACATTGTTTTACTTGTATCTCCAAGACGGGTTCTGTTCAACTGCTTATATGAAACAAAAACGAACACGAGTTGCACTGCAATTTATCATTATATATTGTATCTGACATTTAGGATTCAAAAACAAATAGCAGGGTTTAACAAATAAGAATCAAGACAATATTGGAAAAAGATAAATATTTTACTTCAAACATCAGCTAAGGTCCAGCTCATATTCATATGATTTAGTCTCTTAATTAGTTTAAGTCTTGAGTTACAATCTGTTACCATCGACATGCCAACCCTTAAATTATAGGTCTTTTTGGAAATAGTTTAATGTTTCATTGCTTCTTTGGCTTTCTCTTAATTATTGAACATTTTTGACACGCTGTACCGTTTGCGTATTACAGTGGTTGATATATCACAGGTGTGTGTGTGTTGAGTTTATTTACCCTCGCCACCGGTTAAAAACCATATGGGCGAGCATATGCTTCATTTATTAAAGGGAAAACACTTTATCTAGTTAATATCTGCATATGTGACTAGTGAGTACAATATTTCCTGCCCCAACCATGCAAAATAATTGCACTGAATGGGGCCGGAAAACGGTGGGATTACATCCCACACTAAGATTAAAAAGCTGTATTTAAAATTTAAACTTAAATTAAAAAGGGGGGAAGACGCTTATACGCGGACGTCTTCTATATAGGGAACAAAAAAAACCCCTAATAATTATGTTTAATGATAGCTTCATTTATTGCAAATCATATTTATAATGTTAAAACAAGTATTAAAAGGGGGGAAGACGCTTATACGCGTACGCCTTCTATAACAGACCAACACAGTTAGATTTGTAGATCTTAGTTTTTTATAAACTTTATTTAACACATGAGAAGGTTTATAAATATAAACCTTAGCAACACGCCCGAGAACATAGTTTTTTACAATTGGCCATCATTTAATAATTTACTTTTCGTAGGGAGAACAGTGCAGAAACGATTTTGACAGATAGCGCCGAACCACGTTTAGTAGGTAAATTTTGATTGGCCGAAAAATGGTGTGATTTGTATGGCTAATTAGGGATAAGATATGATTGGTTGATAGTAAACAGATTTCATTGGCGCATTTACTATCCGATTTTGGAGCTTAGCTCGAAGAATTTTGTGGTCTAGACCACGTGGTCTCTGTATTGACATTTCTGCACCGTCTCCCATATAGTGCTAAAAATAGTAACAACGGTGTCTGTTGGAGACCAACCACGACACGGCTGTTTAAATATTTAAAAACAAGGAGGGGAATAGTACTGATACAATTGGTACATGATCTTATAAGAATAACAATGATATTCAGTAATTATATTGTTATTCTAGACTCTCTATAGACCTATACAAAAAGAATATAGAGAGATAGAAAAATTATACCCTAAAATGGCTATTAATAACTTGCTTGGTTACCTACAATGTGATGAGTACTGCCTTTTAGAGAAGAAAAAAGCTGCCTCATACTTGTTCTACTCAATGAATTAACGTATGCTCCATTTTTGTCATTGAGTAGATCACAGTATAAACTGTTTTATAAAATATTTGTTTATATGGGTACAATCTGATATGGAGTCTTTGCTAACATTAAGGTTGTCTTTAAGAAAAAAGAACAGCATTGTAGTCCATAGGGACTTGTTATGCTTGTTTTGAAATAGAATAGGACATCCTTAATGTGATGAAGTCCTCTTATTAACATATAAAAGAAGACTTCATACTTGATTGAGCCCTATATAGCCTTTGCTCCATATTATTGAATAGGGCTCAATTTTAACATATAGTATGTTATAGATTGTACCCTATATAAGAAAGAATAAAAATTAAGAAGATATATTATATATTATATATTTACAAACAGACCAGCTGTTTATTATTTACAGGGGATAAAAATATAGATAAGAGGTATAAATCACAGGGAACACGTCTTTAGCTATTTATATGACGAATTATGCCCAAACTGTAGGCTATACATTTAATGATCGCCGTACATATCAAAATATGTCAGTTTTAATGGATTATGAACGTTGTATTTCACTTAATTCAGTCACTGAGGAATCATACATAAAGCTTTTCTTTTTCTTTTCATTATTCTCGACTTAATTTAGTCTCATACCAATGAAAGAAATAAAAATATTGAACTTGAATATTGAAACAGAACTGTTTTAATAACTTACATATTTTTTAGAATTTTTTATCGGTTTTGTGCGCATCGTACATGACTTTAGCTTAATTGTTTACATTCCAATAGAAACAGGTGCTTAATCGTATAGAAGTATAGAAACGCAAACATTGACTATATATAGAAGCCGTTTTGGTTAGCCACCTTGTATTAGGACTAACTTAGAACTCTGAATTATCCGTTAATTTAACCTGTCACTTGGCTCTTGTATAATCAGAAATGAATTATGCAGGCATTTATTTTCATCACGGACAACGAGAAAGACGGATAGTTTATAATATTGATATAATAAGCTCCGTAATTTTTTTGCAGATTTTTTAAGTACTGTACATGTTTTGCTAAAGCGCATGGTATACTATCGGTAGTTTGTAATATTTGTTTCACAGGTTAAAATGGACTGTTTCTTAGGAATGCCGGACATATTTTTTAAGCATTTCAATTCCAGAAATCTATCTTAATTTAATGTATACGGGTATCTAGAAACGTTAACTTGTGGTATATATGACAATATAATGATAATATCATCACGTTAAAAACACGAAGCAGAAGAAAGCATCACATAAGATCTAAAAAATTTCAAACATTACACATAGCATTCGAATCCAAGCTAATCCCCATTTGAATGTCCAGCTGGGTGTGTTAAACTGGTCCAGAATAATTCCTTTATAGTATGAACACGTGGTTATTTACCATTCGACATCTGTTTTCGACATATGGATTTGAAAAAGGACTAAAAGTCACATTTGATATGATTAATTTATAACTAAGTAATGGATAATATCGATAGAAATATTAATAATAAATACGCAAAAAATCAGGGAAATATACATAAAACACATACTATATATTGTAATATATGTCAGCATGCATATAAAACACAAAACATGCAACAAAAATGTAATTATAAAATTAAGTAGTATGTTTTTATGATAGGCCTACCCTAAGATTGTCCATTTAAAACATGTTTCCAATGGGGTCCAAATTATTACAGGTACATTAACACACTAAATTATATAATAACAATTATGAATTTAAAATAATGAAATTAAGTGTAACATAAAATGTCCCTAATTGGCTGGGACTATATGTAGTTAAGTAAAATAATTATGTTCATTTTGTCATGTTGACCAAAACGGACACTTTTCAGTGTTTTATATTTATTTTCGGCGTTTCAATCCCTTTGAGTTGATAAATATATCGGAAGCGAAATTCTGTTCAATAGAAAATAGATATGTAATTGAAATGAATTAAATCCAACAATATCTGTGCAATCTTTTATACATATATTATCTTTTTTTACTCTTTGTATTTTAATAATTTAAATAAAAATGGGAGATGTTGAAAATGGTCAAGAAATTGATCCGTTACAGGATGATCAGGATGGAGTAGGCGATTTTGACGCTGACGCAGAGGTTTCACTGGATGAAACTGTGGAGACAGAAGCGACGTCTGGACAAGATGCAGGCATCGAAGATCCAGTATGTAGTTGATCGTATATACTGTGTAGATCTAATACCACATTAATTTCATTAAATGTATAAACACAGCTGTTGGTCCGAAAGTTTTAGAGCCAGCTTACGCCATATCCAACGTTTCACTGACTATTAGGACCACAGGGGGCCCATACAGTGTTTGGATGGTATATACTGCTTGCTGGTGACCTTAAAATGAGAGTTAACTGTATAATATGTAAATGTATATATAATATATAAATAAAAGATAGCCTGGATTAGACCCCGGGGTCTAAACCAGGAGTATATATAAGGTTCATTCCGTTTTCTTTAGTGTATTATATGCAAGTTTTACTCCTGAAAAATACATAGGGGTCTGAACCAGGAGATTGCCCACGTTTTCATTTACTTGCCACAATTATATCTTTCTTGCTGAGAGTTTTATGCAATAAATTTATGTTATATTATAATAATATATCATATTTGAAGCAACCTTGCTTAGCAATTTTGTCAAGAAACTGTTATCATTATTTAATAAGCAAGTATTGTTTGGCAATATTTACCCGATACTCAATAATTTTCGGGAGCTGTTTCGTTTGCTTACAAAACTTTATCTTATTATGATTAATGTTAACGTTTTTATTGTAAGTATAATTACATGGCTCCCGAGTCACCTATTGAAGCATATTGTTGATGCGGGTACCACGGCGAAACAGTCAATAATTGTGGTACCCGTATTAGCCAATAGTCTCTATTCATCGAATCGGGAACTAGTGTTTTTTAATGAAAATTGTACACCAGTCAACATACTTCCGTTGCGTTAAAACATGGTGGCTGCGAAACCTTGTAGTATTTTATATACATGATATAAAATTTTTTTTAAGTAAATTAAAATCATAGAAGGTTTTGGAACCGAGTGCCTATGGCATTGACCAGTTTTTGGTTGCATGTTATTCAAATTAAATAATTAACGCTACATTGTATTCCGGTTCATTCCAGAAATAAGAACCCTTTTTTGTAAAACTGTCACAATGTCTTAATTAACTCTTAAATGACCAAATTTCGAATCACTTCATGAATACATCTCCAAATCCTACTCTTTAGTCAGCAGTGTTTTTTTTCACTTTTGGGGGAAGGGGGTCGGTGCCCATTGGAGGGGGAAAAATGCAATAGGAGGGGGATTTTTATACAGATCTAAAATATTGATGTGTCACATGAGAAACTTGTTGGGATACCAGAAGTAGCTCCCCTTACCTATATGAAAAACCTTGCTTAACAGTAAGTCTTACAGGCATAAAATAAAGCATTTTTCGGCAGTTAGTTGCAAAAAAAAATGATATTTATTGCAGGCAAACTTGGGCTGCCATATTATAGGGGGAAATTTCAGCTTTGAGGGGGAAAAAAACATACTATTTTGAGTGGGGAATAGGGAGAATTTCGCCGAATATTTTGGTGAAAAAAAACACTGGTCAGTCATGAATCAAATGTTTGGCTTCAGACAGTATGTCTTTTTTGTTTATAACATACTTTTTCACTTAATTATTGGTGTATATTGAAAGGACAAATAAAGTAATAGTCCTGTCCTGCAGGACGAGTGACTGTAAATATTTTCCGATGCCTGTCATCATTAGTTTAGTCTAGATGTGTACATTCAAAATTGAATTTGCAATAAAAGTAATGAGCTTTCTTCACAATAGATCTTGAAGAAATAAAGATATAATAATAAATAATATGGTTTTAAATTATTGATGTCTTGTTTTAGGAACTTGAAGCTATTAAAGCTCGTGTCAAAGAAATGGAAGAAGAGGCAGAGAAATTAAAAGAAATGCAAAATGCTGTTGATCTCAAAATGAACATGTCATCACCAACATTATGTAAGTATGCCTTATTTTTTAAACAAATAAAATATTTCTAATAATGGAGTTGATGTGGAGCAGTTTTACATATTACTTTTGTGGAAGAGAACTATCTCAGTATGATTGGAAAGGATAAGACTATGACCCGTTAGTTTTTAGATCCTTACTCAGTGATTTTTTTCAGCCGAATAAAGGCTGTTTCCCCTAGCCCAAAATAGGTATATTTTCCCCTAAAAATGCTAATATTTTCCCTTAAAATGCCTTGTGCTCTTCCTTACCAGAACCATGACTTAACAGCATCTGACATATATCATCTAGAACACAGAAATCTGTCCCTATATATAGCCTCTGCTATAAACCATGCATGTTAAATTGAATTGATATTAATTTTTTTTCATAAAATGTGTGGGTAAATTCCATTTTCAGTTGTTGGAATGTATTTCAGGTTTTCCCCCTTTTCTGATTTATCACGCTATATTTTCCCCTTCGGAAAGCCACAAGTAGTTTTGAAAATTGGAAAAAAAATCACTGTTACTATTTTACTTAAGATCAGCTCTGATGGTAATTCAAACTTCCTTGGCCATTTTAAGAGACCTTAATAGCAAAGAATAAAATATTTTACAATAAGCCAATATATCTTTAGATGGATCATGCAAATTCTTTGGTTCCTTTGTGGAGACAATCATAGTGTGAATTGTTTTACCTTACTCAAGTATATATTGTTTATATGATATCTCAGAATTAATGATTGCCTGCTGTCCATCTATCCATCCACAGCCATAGTCTGTATTCTAAGTCATTTCCATGCCCCTAGCTGATAGATATTTTTGGAAATAATTTGTCGCATTTTGATAAATTTGAGAAATTAAAAAAGGTCTTCATCAGTAAAGCTAGATGGTCACCATATATCAGTGATTCAGATTAGACTGTCTTTCCTTTGGACAAAATTGTCCAAAAAATTACATTTGTCCTTAATTACAAAAATAACTCTGGAAAAATTTTTATGCGACAGTAGCATAATTTTTTGTTTATATTATATTGTAAATAATACAGCTAGCCATCATTGTTGATAAGCAATGCCACTGTTATCTTTAGGGATTGAGTTATTCAATGATATACTGACTTTTTACTACGAAATATTTCGTAAATCATCATAAAACCCAACCAAAAGAAGAAAAAAAGAGAAGAAAATATACTAGTATTCAGTATTACGTTTATGTGTATTGCAGCATCAGCATTTCCTTCAATTGAAGAGAAGATGGAGACGGACACTAGATCTATCTATGTTGGTAATGTAGACTATGGTGCCACAGCAGAGGAACTAGAACAACATTTCCATGGTTGTGGCTCAATAAACAGAGTCACTATCCAATGTGATAAATTTACTGGACATCCTAAAGGGTAAAACTTTAATTTCCTCATTATTCTACCTCAGCAAATGTAAGGCTAAGCTTTTGTTACAAAATTTGGTCATAATGAAGTTTCAAATACTACATGATTCTGACAAATTTCAAGAATAGCATCTTTTCAAATTGAAATGGTGTATTTATTTCCTTAAAGCAAATTAAAATTTAGATGAACAAAGAGAGACTGTAAGCTGTTGTGTATTCTACCTGATCAGACAGCCTTGACAAAAACATGTTGGCTTTACCCTATTTTTAGTTGTCTTTGACAGTCAGACAAGCCTTGCAAATCTCTTACTTTTCTGTTTCTTGCTGTATACTAACTCTATACATATAAGTTATAAAATGACAGTGAAAATATTATTTCAGATTTGCATATGTAGAGTTTGCTGATAAAGACTCTGTGGCGACAAGTTTAGCCTTAGATGATTCTTTATTTCGAGGCAGGCAAATTAAGGTAAATTTATCAATCTTAATAAATGAAAGGCTTGATTCTTTATTTCGAAAGAAAATATTTCCTGACACTCCATTGTTATTAGCATACTATAATAGATTTTGGCCCAGTCACACCACTAAAATATAAAATGGAGACCTTCAGAATTCCTGGTCACAACCATATTTGTGTTGTAACTTCCATTATTTAGGTTACTAAAGTAAAATTGTTATATACACTTACCTTGATTGCTGTAAAGACAACTGCGTGGAATCTTTCTTTTTGGTCTCTAGTGTTGTGTTTATTTGCTTTTAAGTGGATGTGAGTTTAAATACCACGAGTTGTAGGATGTTTCAAATATAGTTGCATATTTCTCTTTTGATTTTATATATTTGCACTACTACAAGAGCTAAGAAAGACTTCTTTTTATGCCACAGCAGCATCTGTGCTGCTGTGGCATATAGCGATTCACCTGTGTGTGTGTTTGTGTGTGTGTGTGTTCTATAGATTATATAGTGAACTTAAAAAGTCTTCTTTTGAAAAACCACTAGTCCAATTTCAACCAAACTTGGCAGGATTGATCCTTGGGTGAAGGGCTTCCAAAGTTGTTCAAAGAATTTCATTCCATGCAGAAATCTGGTTGCCATGGCAACCAAAAGGAATTATAAGAATAAATTTAAAAAGTCTTCTTGTAAAGACCCCAAAGGCCTAGAGCTTAGATATTTTGCATAAGGCATTGTCTGTTAGACCTTTTATTGGATTAACAATAGATTTAACCACTAATCTGATAATAAGAATTAGATAGGGTCAGGGATCTATGCATTAAGACAATCTTCAATTGTATAGAAACAAAAAAAATCTGTTCCTACACTACTATTTAGTGTTGTATTAATGCGGTGGCATAGCATTTTCTCAAATGCAATCTTGTTTTTTAGCTCACCTGTCACAAAGGTGACAGATCGCTTTTCGTCCGGCGTCCGTCCGTTAGTCCGTAAACTTTTACTTTAAATGACATCTCCTCATAAACCACTAGGCCAATTTCATCCAAACTTCACAGGAATGTTCCTTTGGTGGTCACCTTTAAAAATTGTTCAAAGAATTTAATTCCATGCAGATCTCTGGTTGCTATGGCAACCGAAAGAAAAAACTTTAAATATCTTCTTTTAAAAACCCAAAGAGCTAGAGCTTAGATATTTGGCATGAAACATCTTCTAGTGAGTGTCTACCAAGTTTGTTCAAATAAAAGCCCTTGGGTCAAAATTGGCCCCGCCCCAGGGGGTCATTGATTTTCCCTATATGCATATAGTAAAAACTTAAAAAATCTTCTTTAAAAGAACTCAAAGAGCTAGAGCTAAGATATTTAGCATGAAACATGTTCTATTGGGTGTCTACCAAGTTTGTTCAAATAAAAGCCCTGGGGTCAAAATTGGCCCCGTCCCAGGGGGTCATTGATTTTCCTTATATGTGTATAGCAAAAACTTAAAAATCTTCCTTGAAAAAACCCAAATAGCTAGAGTTTAGATATTAAGCATGAAACATCTTCTAGTAAGTGTCTACAAAGTTTGTTCAGATAAAAGCCCTGGGGTCAAAATTGGCCCTGCCCCGGGGGTCATTGATTTTCCTTATATGTGTATAGCAAAAACTTAAAAATCTTCCTTGAAAAAACCCAAATAGCTAGAGTTAAGATATAAAGCATAAAACATCTTCTAGCAAGTGTCTACAAAGTTTGTTCAAATTAAAGCCCTGGGGTCAAAACTGGCCCCGCCCCGGGGTGTCATTGTTTTTAAACTATATGTGTATAGTAAACTTAAAAAATCTACTTTTAAAAAACCCAATGAGCTAGAGCTTAGATGTTTAGCATGAAACATCTTCTTATGGGTGTCTACCAAGTTTGTTCAAATAAAAGCCCTTGGGTTAAAATTTTCCCTGTTGGGGGGGGGGGATAATTATTTTTAACCAGGTTTTCCGAAGGAAAAAACTGGTTATTAGATTGAGGTATGTCGGCGGGCGGACGGGCGGGCGGGCGTAAACAATTTCTTCTGTGCGCAACTCCTCCTACATTTCTCAACGGATTTTGACCAAACTTTCTTAGAAGCTTTGTTATCAAGTGCCTGGCACATATTGTCAGGGTTTTGTGATTGGATAATATTTGACCGAATTATGGCCCTTTGTATATTTTTTCCTTATACAGAATATATAGAGAACAATTTCTTCTGTGCTCAACTCCTCCTACATTTCTCAACGGATTTTGACCAAACTTTCTTAGAAGCTTTGTTTTCAAGTGCCTGGCACATTTTGTCGGGGTTTTGTGATTGGATAATATTTGACCGAATTATGGCCCTTTGTATATTTTTTCCTTATACAGAATATATAGTGAACAATTTCTACAGTGCGCAACTTCTCCTACATTTCTCAATGGATTTTGACCAAACTTTCACAGAAGCTTTGTCATCAAGTGCCCTGGCGCTCACTAAATTCCCATGTTTCTTCCAAGACATCATTCAAGTATTTTTTTTAAATTGTGAACATACTTTTCTTGATATCGCACAAAACACCACACGCCAATATTGTTGACAAAAGAAAATGACAAGAGACGCAAAAATGCAAAAATTAAGCAAAAATAAAGTACTGTTTACCTTTCTAAAACATTTGGGAAAAAAAGGAGAATAGACAACATAAAATTTCTCAATCATTTTTGTTTGAGGAATATTAAAAAAGCCATAATTCCTCCTAAAAGTTCAATTAAAAACAAATGCCACTTCATGACAAAGCTTCTGTGAAATATTTTGCTGAAAACCTGGTTGCATCGCATTGCGATGTTCCTTGTTCATTATATGTGTGTAGTTAAAACTTAACATCATGAAACATCTTCTAATGGGTGTCTTCCAAGTTTGTTAAAATAAAAGCCCTGGGGTTTAAACTGGCCCCGCTCCAGGGGGCCTATATACAGGTGAGCGACCTCAGGGCCATCATGCCCCTCTTGTTTTGGAAAACAACCGATGTGTTAGAAGATAATATGTTTGTAAATGTTTCACGTGTACAAAGCTCACTGGTTTTATGAGTACATGTATTAACTTGAAATTTGTTATGTATCGCTTAAAGAGAAAGAGTGCTGTGTTTCAGGTGTTTGCAAAACGTACAAATAGACCTGGTATTAGCTCAACAAATCGTGGTAGAGGTAGAGGTCGAGGAAGAGGTAGAGGGGGTTTCTATGGTGGTTATGCTCCAAGACCAAGAGCAAGAGGGTAAGCTAGATGTATAGTATAATTATTGGTGTACTCCTTTATGTTTGTCTGGCTGAAATGAATTATCATGATATGGTCAGCTTTTATCTACTGAGCATTTCCTGTTCTTTTAATACAAGGAAACTCAGTTGAAATAACATATTTTATGTTCCTATACAAGGTAATTCAGTTGAAAAATTTTGATAGTTGAGCATGTGCATACAGAGTGTTGCAACGTGTTCCTATTCCTCATGGCAAATTGAACCAAAGCTGATATGAATGTTCAGAGAACATAATACAATTAGTCATTGTTATATAAATTCATTAAATGCTTTTTATACGCCCGTTTGAAAAACGGGACGTATTATGGGAACGCCCCTGGCGGGCGGGCGGGCGGGCGGCGTCCAATTTTGTCCGGAGCATATCTCCTACATGTATGGAGGGATTTTAATGAAACTTCATATAAATGTTCACCACTATGAGGAGCAGTGTCGTGCACATGAACCAGGTCTCTAGGTCAAAGGTCAAGGTCACACTTGGAGCTCATTGAAAAATGCTTGTCCGGAGCAAAACTTCCACATGTGTAGAGGGATTTCAATATTACTTGGCACAAATGTTCACCATTATGAGGCGGAGTGTCGCGTGCAAGATTCAGGTCCTTGCGGCCAAGGTCAAGGTCACACATAGAGGTCAAAGTTCAGATAAAAATATGAAGATGTGTAAATGGACCATTTAGTCATCATTTATTGAGGGATTGTAACACAAATGGTCATTATCAAGACTATGGCTGTGATACATATAATTTAGGTCAATATATACAAGGTCAAGGTCACTAAAGATGATGAAATATCAAGATTTTGTAAATAGAATTTAATCAAAGGGCAACAACAAAGTTATTACTTTGTTCATAAATGACTTACACAATTACTCCCCTTGATCTACTTTCACTTTCAATTCTAAAAATAGAATTTAATCAAAGGGCATGAAATAATCCTCTTTCTTGGACTTGAGTATGTTCTAAAGAATGTAACATTTATTTGCACATGTTTCATTCATTGGTCAAAATTTTTAACTGTGATAACTATGGTGTTCTGTAGACTTGGTATTTGTTCATAAAGATCATACAGTAATTACCTTATCAAATGTAAATACTTTCTCATAGAAATTTAATTATATTTTAATTTTCAAGTAAATATCAGTTCAGCTCATTCAAAGATTAAGAATTGTAATGAAATGTATTTCCCTAGAATAAAATCTTAAATCAGAATTTTTTAGTAATTAAATTACAATTACATGTACTTATACGCCCGTTTAAAAAAAAGATAAAAATATGAAGATGTGTATAGACGATTTAATCATCATTTATTGAGGGATTGTAACACAAATGGTCATTATAATGACTACAGCTGTGACACATGTACTTTAGGTCAATATATGCAAGGTCAAGGTCACTAAAGATGGTGAAATATCCAGATTTTGTCTGGAGCATATCTCCTACATGTATGGAAGAATTTTTATAATACTTTATGGAAATGTTCACCACCATGATAAGTATTGCTCCATGCATGATCCAGGTCTCCAGGTCAAAGGTCAAGGTCACACTTAGAGCTCATTGAAAAACGCTTGTCCGGAGCAAAACTTCTACATTCATAGGGGGTTTTCAATATAACTTGGCACAGATGTTCACCATTGTGAGGCTGAGTGTCGCATGCAAAATTCAGATCCCTGCGACCAAAGTCAAGGTTACACATAGAGGTCAAAGTTCAGATAAAAATTTGAAGATGGTTATAGGGACCATTTAGTTATCATTTATTGATGGATTGTAGCACAAATGGTCACTTATCCATAATGCCCCCATCTCCATCTAAAGCTTTTTCGTAAACGGGCGTATTTTGTGACTATGGCACCCTTGTTAGTACTTCACATAGGATGATTGTCTATATTGAGTAGAAGACCCCTATTGATTTTGGGGTCACAAGATCAAGGGTCAAGGTCATTATTACCTTAAAACTGAAAACAGTTTCCGGAGCATAACTTAAGTTCCATTTGGCCCACAGTGTTCAAACTTCATAGGATGATTGTCCATATTGGGTAGAAGGCCCCTATAGATGTTGGGGTCACAAGGTCAAAGTCACTATTACTTTCAAACTGAAACAGCCGGAGCATAACTCCAGTTCCATTTGCCCTCAATATTCAAACTTCAAAGGATGATTGTCCATATGAGATAGAAGACCCCTATTGATTTTGGGGTTACAAGGTCAAAGGTCAAGGTCACTATTACTTTAAAACTGAAAACAGTTTCCGGAGCATAACTTAAGTTTCATTTGGCCCAAAGTGTTCAAACTTCATAGGATTATTGTCCATATTGGGTAGAAGACCCCCTTTGATATTGAGGTCTAAGGTCAAGGTCACTATTACTTTCAAACTGAAACAGTTTCCGGAGCATAACTTAAGTTCCATTTGGCCCACAGTGTTCAAACTTTATAGGATGATTGTCATTGTTGGGTAGAACACCCCTATTGATTTTGGGGTCACAAGGTCAAAGGTCAAGGTCACTATTACTTTCAAACTGAAAACAGTTACTGGAGCATAACTTAAATTCCATTTGACCCACAATATTCAAACTTCATAGGAGGAAGGTTATACTTTATTTAAGTCCCAAGTCTTACAAGTGCTTCATCCTTACTAAAAAAAAACAAAAACACAGGCATATAATGCTCCGCCTAGCTGTGCTCTTGTATTTTACTTGTAACACCAGCTGTTATGTTTTACTCGTGACTTTGCCACTTATAAAAAAATGGCATTGAATTTATTCAAGATTGATGAAGCTTGAAAGTAAATTGAAATGTCCTCTTCACATTTTATTCCAACTACATAAAACTATATATGTATATATTTGTTTGTTTTTGTTTCAGAAGATACAGAAGGGCTTCACCTTACTACTCCCCATACTGACGTGATGAATAGAGGATACTTGATGGATAAATCTATTAATAAACACTATTTGCTTAAGAATGAAGAAAACACAAACAAGAAAACAATCAAAACATATGCATTTTGACTTCTATAAATAACAGATAAATAACAAATAAAAGGACATGAATTCAGATAGAATGATCTGAAAATAGATCTTGTATAAATATTTGAGAATATCCAGAAAGATTTTCAGCTGAAAATAAGTATATAATGCTGAGCTCTCAACATTCTTGAGCTGTTCCATTTCAATTAATATCTGTACAGAAGAGAAGGTATAGGCTTGTTTATATTGTTCTAAGTCATAATATTTCCTTATAATTTGACAGATATTGTTTTCCATTGCAAAAAATGTGAAAATAAGGTGGGAATAGTACTGGTTTTAATGAGGATTTAATAGTACATTGGCATTTTGTTATCAGGAAGGTAAATGGGTTGAGGAAAAGTAATTTAAGAACTTTCATTTTAAATGTAGTCTTAAAAAATATGACTTATTCTATATATTGATTCCAGCCCATTTTGAAATATTTTTAATGTTGACCCTCATGTGACTAGAATAACTTGTAGAGAATTTAACTATCTGTCAAAACTGTTATCTGAACTTGTCTCTTAGGCAAAAGCTGTAATACTTATTCACAGAATTCAATATTCTTTCACAAAAAGGGGATAAAAGATAATGTAAAAACTAGCATTTGTCAGCTTCATAAAAAAATGTTTGGCACTTACAAAGAATATATTAAAGCTGTTTGAATTGTCTTATCATGTGAGAAAGGAAACTTTCTTTTTTTAAAAAAGTATCAATTTGCACATAGAATGGTGATTCTAATGTTGTTTTCCCCCACAGAGATTGGTAGAGTGAATTTTAGTCATACGGTTTTAATATATATAGAATTAGTTTAAATTATTCACCTGAACTTTTTTAATAAGTTTTTATTTGTTTGATTATCACTATCATTTGTGATTTTATTCTAAACCCATTTCAACCAAGAACTGCATTGATTAAACATGGTTTTCATGTCGAATTGATTATTGATAGTAACATTTTTGTTGATGTATTGTTTGAGATGAAAAAGGTACAAGGATTTTTGTTTTGATGCAAGAAAATAAAATTTCTAGAATAATTGAAAATAATTTTGCTCTTACTAATCTGGAATGATACAAGTATTATTGTATGTTGGCCTGTATTAATCTTTATGTTATTATCAAGGTATTTTACCAGCTTTTTTTACAGTGTAGCTTCAGATGAGGATGGCATCTTTGGTGAGTATATACACATTTATTTTATACATTTCATAGTATTTCTAATGATGCTGTAAAGGATTGTTCTCATTTCATGAAATGAAAATAAGAAACTGTAAAATATATTCAACAGTTTGCCACTTCTATTACTTACAAATTCTCAAGGCATATGAGATCTTGAGCCAAATAACTGGGGTGATATTTTAGTGATCGTCGCATCTGGTTTGATAAATAGCTAAAATTTATGCATGCACTACAGAAAATGCATTGATCTACTTCCAAACATTGATGAAATTGTTGATGGTGTTCATTTAGAATCATTTTTTAAACTTTAATTGTAAACATACATGGAATTGGATTTGTTACCTAGATGTGGTTGGTGTTGGTCCTCGGGTTATGCAAACTTTTCTGTGACAGATTAGTCTCGCCTCTTCAGAAATCATGTTGGATAAGTAGTCTGTACTTTAAGAAAATTGGTAACTACTGGTTAGTTACCCAGGAGAGCTGGTTAGGTAGACCAAGGTATGATCAAAATCAATGTGAAAAACTTACCAATCAAACAAGATTACCAGTAATCAAATAAATTCAGAGCTTTTAACTTGATTACCTGTCAGTACATTTCCTGTGCTTGCTTGTCATTTTGATAGATAGTATCTTCTATCTCCAAATTATGTCTTAACAGCTGACAGGTATGTTAATTCCTTGACTAATTTTGGAAAGTAAGTATATATTGCAATATAGATTGACTTACTCACATAATATGCTTTTTAATTGACATTCAACATTTCAGGTAAAAATGTATAAACAAAAGAAAAAAGAGAAAAATGTAGAAAAAAAGAAGAGAAAAAAAAGAAAAAGATGTGAAAAAAAAAGATAAATATGTATAAAAAGACATGTAAACTGTACAAAAAAAATGTTAATAGAAATGTAGAAATTGTAAACAACATCGAGAAATAAAAATCATAAAAAATATTTTACATTTTGTTTCTTTCTCCCAAGTATATTTTACAATTATTGGAGCCCTTTTTCAGCTGTCTTAAAATTATTTTCTTTGCAAAATAGTTTGGTAGTTTAGAGCAATAAAAGTTATGTTTATAGTATGACCCCCCCCCCCTCCCCCAAATGGGCACCATAAGGAACAAAAAAAATCATGGCATACCAGCAGGTCTGAGTAATATGCCTTTAAGGACATCTCTATGCCAAATTTGAAAAGTAGACTTAGTTTACGAGTTAAGGCATTTTTCTAAATCTTGGATATTAGATCTTTTTAAGAAATGAGGAAACTAATTAATCTTTATCATCGTTAAGAAATCACACAAGCAAAATGATTGTTACTACTCAAAATGTTTGAAATATGCATAAAAATGTTTCCCTACCCCATCCATTTCAAACACTGGATCAGAGAGATGCAGTTTTTATGCAGTTGAAAGTAATGCTAGCCTGTTTGAATACTGAGGTAATGCATGACATCTGATTGTAAACAATCTTTACTTAGTATAACGCTGAATCAACTTAACAAAACATGTCAAGATTGTTTCCATGTGGTTCATTCCGTCTTCTTGTTTGAAACTCGTTTTTTCATGGAAATGACAAAAGTTATCGATTGTTACACAGTTGTTAACTGGAATGTCTCAAGCTTACCAGAGCATAATTTGAACTTATCTGATCACTTGATGTCTGTTTACATGTGTCTTTAAACATCTAGTACTTCTCCTTTCAGTTTGTTAAAATTTTCATTCCATGGAACTTGAAAAATGTTTGTGTCATTATTTGCACATTTAATGCAAAATTTTCAGTCGTATATATAGTCAAAATTGTACCAGTGTTATATCCTATGACATGGTCAAAAATAATTGAGGCCTTGTATGCTCTAGTAAATAATAGAAAGTTGTGTAACAAATATATGTATGATGAGGCAAATTGGAAAGTTATGTATACGTGTCCCAAGAATGCGGATCGAGATTAAGGAAATGTCAAACTTTTACATTTAAATATTCAGAAAAATTAAAGTAGAATGTTTCTGTACATTGTTTTCATTGCATGTTTGAATTAAGAATGATTTCGATTTATCAGAAAAGATCAGATTGGAATGGAATGTGTGACAATATGTACAACTAGTAAAATGATATCAAACTTGTCATTTTCATAGTTGATGCTATATTTATATCCAAATGACTATCAGTGTTGACTATGTTAAAGATTTGGTTTATGCTCTACAGTTTCTGTCCAAAAAAACAGCCACTGCTTCAACTGCTGGCTCCTATCTTTTCAAGTTAAATTATTTGAGACACATCACAAAACTTGGGAAAGCTATGCTCCTGCTTATTGTGTGCTATGAAAACTAACAGTGAAAGAAGAATATTATCACCATGAAAGATTGAGATTGAATGTGACAAAAATCTGGTAACACAGACGGAACAGATTTTTGAGACTTGTTTCCATTGACACTAACACTCAATATTTCGGGGGGGGGGGGGGGGAAAGAGAGAATACTTTATACTGGACAACAAAAATAAAAGAAGTGATATAGTTGATTATTTTATTTCTCAATTCTGTACAAAAATGTATAAAATGTATTTACAGATCATAAATGATTTCATATAAATGATTTAAAGTTCTAGATTTATACTGATACACAGGAAATCTTTTTGTATCTACATATACATTTACTCATCTATAAAGTATATATTTCCCGTAACTATGTCGGTATGTGTTTCCTGAAAAAAATATTGAAAGATATATGTAAACTCGTTGTACAAAATAACTGGTACATGTCCATGTGCAAATTTTAAATGAATTCATTAATGTAGGCATGTTTTTATGGCAATCACTTTTCTGGATAATCCATCATGCACTCACTAGTAAACAAATACATCATCTACAATTAAAAACATTTTTGGACCATACACAATTTTATCTTAACAAAAGTTTAGTAAAAGATACAATGTATAAAAACACAAAATGGCAGGTAATGTGGAACTGTTTTACACATTATCACTTTTAATTATGTTGCCACAAGAAAGCTGAAAGATGCTAAAATGGTCTTGTACATTTAAAAACGTTTTATTTAAGGCACCAGCAGATAGAGATTCAAGAAAAAGGTTTACAAATATGTATATAATATCGCACATTTTTATTTCAAATTGACCATAATAGGTTATTGATCTGAAAATTAACATTCATCGAGTTGTATATAAAAATACAGTAAACGGCACAACTACATAGTTTGAAATAACTGAATGCATTGCATACACAGTTGAGGCTACATCTAATATAAGGCCTATATGAGATGCAAGCTAATAAAAATAAACAAATATGTAAAGTCTTGGTAATAATTATTGGATACTTTTTAAATTCATCCGTAAACAAAGCTGTCGCTATTGATAACAGACTGTAGCCCACATTTCTAATTGTTGTCACAGTACCCTTCAATAAATTCATATCTGAGGTTGAACTGTCTGGTTTACAGGCTTTCTTCCAGATTATTAATAACACCCATAGATGGTAACTTCTACATTTTCCACAATTGCCAATTTTAATCAATGGGATGCAAGGCAAATGAATTACTTTTAAATAAACATTTTGCAAAAGATACTGTTCCCTATTGCTAATAAGAAATATATCTGACATCCCTTATATCTATAATGCACAAGTTGATATGTATATTCTGAGCGACATTCAAACACCGTATAGTTTGGTATTATCTATATACACATAAAGATATCAGGTGAATAAATGGAGGATCTATAATTAGGCTTTAATAAAAGAAATTTCCCCAGATACCATTAAAGAGGTAGCATATCAAACACAAGAACAAACTCTGGAAGAACAATATAAATTATAAATATAATCATTGAAAATGACCCACAACCTACAATAATAAACTTAAAGCGTGCAAACTTAACACACATGTATGTCATACAACCACTTATTGATTTATGATCTCAGCCACTGAACAATAGTTCAATTTCAGTGCCATGTTTTCACATTAATTTTGTATAGCAAAACTGATGAATAAAAGAGAACCTTAATTAGTTGTACTCAATTTGCATAAAAAAAGTTCCATGTTAATCAACAGGTTCACAGAAATTTGTATGTTCCTGCTTTTTCAAGTTCAGATAAATGTTTTTTTTAAGACATAATTTTTTAATAATGGGTTATGGCTGAAATAAATGTAGCTGTGAATTAAAAAAAGAAAGAAGATATATCTTCACATTACCAACAAACATCAGAGTGGCAGTAACCTCAGCCATTCACATAATAACACATTTATGATTTTTTAAAAGGGTATAAAGCTATATCTAAAGAATTGTTTTTTTTTTTTATAAAATCTTTTGAATAGTTATATTGTTTTCATACTGTGTGGTAGATTCTCGAAAAAGTTGTCGCATAGAATTTCTCTGTTTTTTAACACATGAACATAAACAGAATAAAATGTTCTTGAATAAAACATTATCTGCTTATTTATGTAGGGTTTAGCCGTTTAGCAATGATTTTGTATCTGCCACATACTCTCAAGGTAATATACAAATATTTTCCTTTCATACAGGTATTTTGAAAGTATTCTTTTTCAAAATTCATGTAACAAATTGTGCAGCTTTATACACTTAAAGAAAAAGGTGTTGAGAAAAATTACTTAAACACACTAACAAATATCTGAATTACATTTGTTGTAGTTAAATAGTATCAGACAAACTATTCTTCAAAGCAATATATGTTGCCCGAGCTTAAATTTGAGATAGTTTTTCCTTAAAGGCCCATGAAGCCTCAAAAATGCTATTATCTTATAAAAAGCGTTTTATTTTTGGTGACCAAGTTACTCAATGGCCATATACCTAAGCCGGCTTCTGCTCCTCTTGTGTTTTGGCATGTAGTACACTTACAGTAATTTAGTATATTGTATGGAAGTCAAAACATCATGTTAACATTTTGCTACCATTAACACAAATCATTTAACATTCAATGATACTTTTTTCAAGTGATAAGCATTTCACATGTTCTTAATCTGTGTTTACAAGATAATAAAACAAATGTTTGCCCTTTCTACAGAAGTAAAACATATTTAATGAGTTTTAATGTGCCTCCAAGCTAACATAAATAAAATATATAAATAACATTACATAAAATGTATAACTAACTTCATTATAAATAACTGCTGAATATTCACATAAAGATATCACATATTCTGAACTTGGTTTTCAGTATTTCTTCATATAATAGTGTACACTTCTAGCACATTCACAGATTAACACGTCAACTTTATACATGTATATCACTAAACAGTTGTTGTATTCTAGATGAGGAATCTTTCATCAACAAGTGTTTTCTTGGCTAAATTTTTCTGTCCTCCACCATCCCTGGCTACACATACAATCTAAAAATAGATCAGAGGTTTAAATTTAGTAATATACAACATCATGTATCAGTTCCAGTGTGCCATCCATCTTGCAGCTCTTGTTAGCTATTATTAGCTTTTTTGAATATTCTTGGCATATTTGAATATTCTTAGCAAATTTGATTATTCTCAGTAGTTCATAGTAAAACAAGATCCTTGTTTATCATTATGTCAGCATTTTCCAAGTTATCAAGGGTATAATTCAGTTGAATTTTATGCTTTAGTTTTTGGTCTTAAACTTGAATTTTTTTTAATAATGGTAAAGACAGGTTTCATTGAACACACTCGATGGTTATAAAGAACAATTTTGCAAGCATAAACATCATCATAAAGACAGAAGTACATATAGGAAATTCAGTAAAATTCCATGTTTTGAAATTATGATCTTGCAAATATGTTTGAAGTGAATATTTTCGAAGATAAATGAAAAACAACTTTAACCAATTGTTATGCAAAGAAAAGAATGAGTGTGATAGATCCACTTTTCTTTGAATAGCTGAGCTAAAATGCGACGTAACAATAAGAGAATACTTACCTCTGAGAGAAGGTATGTTATGACACCGGCAATAACAAAGTTAGTGAAGATAAGATCACTGATACAGAATGTGAGAACATCAAACAGTAACAGTGTCATCTCATGTCCATAGAATAATACATTGTCAAATGAATGACCATCATCTGTAATATAAACAAAGTTTAAACTTAATTTATCATTTTCAGTATCTTCTTTCACAAAATATAACAACAACAAATAGTTACAAATGATTCAAATGAGACATGCATGCTATAAATTGATAACTTGGAGTTATCACAGCATTGTTTATACCAAGTCTGATGAAGATCCATCAAATGATCAGAAAAATTGTATAAAGTTTTCTATTATTAAGATAAAATATCGCCAGAATGTATAAACTTTGTGAAGACGATCAAAGAGGGTAAAGAAATGATCAGTTAAGATCCATCAACAGGTTCATAAAGGTAAAAACTAAAGAAATACAGCTTGTAGAATACCTAACAGTTATATGACTGTATTGTAGTTATTATTAAGAATTCTGTATTCAAGCTATAATCATTGAATGTGTCATTTACTTTATTGTATTAAACAAAACAGTTTGGAATCTTGTGAAGTAATTCAGCTGTCAACTTTCGTGTCATTGTTTTATATATTTTAATATTTAAAATATTACCATTATAAAAGACCCCAGTTTCTGATGTATCATCAAACTCTGTATCCATGATACTCTCCAAGATTGTCTTGTCTTTTATCACATAGTCCATATCTCTCAGTGACTGAAATTTTATATAATTTTATATTTTTATGACTTATTTGTTTGTTTGATTGGGTTTTACGTCACACCGACACATTTCACCTATATACAGGTTTGAGGAAGACCTCAGGTGCCTTTCTGTGCATTATTTCAGGCATGAATGGGCACCCGAGTAGAACCACCGACGTTTCGTAAGCTATCTGGATAGTTTCCTCGCATGAAAGAATCCAAAATCCCTGTGGGAATTTGAACCCACGTCAGTGAGGGGCAAGTGGTTTGAAGTCAACAACCTTAACCACTTGGCCACAGAGGCCCCTTTATGACTTATCAATATATAAGTGTATAAAGATTATTTTTCCTCTGTGTAATATATTAAACTACAGGAAACATAATGTTCAGATTATTCTGGAAATTCAGATTTGGATGCTCCAGGAGTACTTTTGAGGTTGATGTAATTCCAATGAGTAAGGGGTGTTACGTAAAAGTTTTTTGACTATGTACAATGAAATTTTTACTTTGTTTAAACAATAAAAGTGACTGAAATATCTGATCTGACATATTATATTTTGGAAAAAAACCCACATTTTTACTTAAGAGGGATCTGAAAATGCCTTTAATCATTTTCAGCCGTGGGGTTATGCCCCTACATGAATGCCATGCTACCCATTTACCCTGCTTGATACCTGCAGATATTTTCAGAATTGGCAATCTTGGACTTTTGTGATCCCTGTAAACTAGAACATAGATGCAGCAACAATCCTCTGTTTTGTAAGTCTAAAGACAAAACATGGGCAAATCTATACCCAAGTTATGGTACATAAATGCTGAAATGAACATACCCTGTCAATGAATGCTGAGAAGAATCTGTTTATTGTACAATAAGCTTCCACTTGTTTTTCCATGGCTGAACCAGATAACCTCCCCCCACGTCCTGAATCTGCCCTCGTAGCAGCTGCGGCACTCTACAAAATAATATTAGTTAAAATAGTAGTCTATACCTTACATTAAGAATCATTTGTTGTTATAAATGATATCTTTTACATGCTTCCTCTATTTCTCTTTAATCATTTAAAGGTTCATAAAATTTGGAACTGGGTGCACAATAAAAACTAGTGCTTAGAAAATGTAAACAGAAAATACATGTTGTAAGAAATGTTTCATAAATGGAATGTTTCATAAAAGTTATTGATCCAGACCTACATCAAAAGCTACTAAAATCTTGAAAAAAAAATTTCCAGTCCCTTTATGCCCAAAAACCAAAGTAGAGTTCTTTTAATTTTTTTATTATGCATAAAAATAAAGCTGAGAAAATAGTAACATTTTATGATTATCTGTACATAGTATTACTTTCTAAAACAGTCCAAGAGCTCTCTTTAAAAAATATTAAGTATGTCTTGACATTTTACATATCCCTCAAAGTTTTCATGAAAATTGAAAATGTAGTCACAAAAGAAAATGAACATTTGTTACTTTTCTGTTTTTTTTACACCAATATAAAGATATTTTGGTCATACCTTGGCAGTCAGTCACCCTTACTGGTTTTCGTGGATAACTAAAGAGTGTTTATTCTCCGCAAATGAATGATTACTTATCCCATATGATTTTTGAATCGGCATTGAGAGACAAACGACCGTTAGGCTCATTATCCCAGATCAGCTGTCATGGAGAAATTTCGCTTTGCCCAGGGATCAAACCAGTGACCCCTTAATAACAAATCCAATACTCTCCTTATTGAGCTAAACGGGTGGACATGGTCCTTCTTGTAAAAATTGATTGTGTTTTTGTATAATTGATATAACCAACCTCTAACTTAGCAGGTAAAAGGACAGCCTCATATCTAAGCCTTAATCTTTTTGGTAATGCCATAACAAATGTCTGTTGTTCAGTGTTTGGTAACAGACCTCTTTGTCCACACATATCCTCCTGAAATTAAGATTTCATCAATGTCACAATGTCGACAAACAGATTACATTTCTTCTCATGATACTGTATCAAATACCTTAAAAGTTATAACATTAAATAATATATAGAAGCATGGCTAATTTGCCATGGTTTTGGCATGACACTGGTTCAGTAACTAAGATACATTATAACTTGATCATGAAACCTGAGTTTTATAATTTAACTTTCAATATTTTTTACCAATTTTTCTGTTATGCACATAAAACAAACATTACTTAGTATCTAATTATTACACAGTTTTCAACAAAAATCAACAATTGGTGTTCTTGTCTAATGAACTGGTCTTCTTATGAATTTGGAAATGTCCTTAGTCAAATATGGTGGATTTTGAAATCAAATGTTAAATTCAAGGAGGTGAGAAATGTTCTGACCTCTTCCTTCTTCATTAGTTCAGCCATTTCCTTCATGTTGGTATCAGCTTTGCCGTGTACAGATCTACCATGTATATAGTGACCAAACTGAGCATGGGCCATCACAAACACACTGATGTTACTCATTGAACAAAGGTCAACAAACTGACGAACCTTGTCCTCAAAAAATCTCTCATAGATAAAGGTGAAGAAAATCCACTGTAACACTCCTATTGATAGTAAAGAAAAACACCGAGTAAGTCAGCAAGCAAAAGTATACAAAAACAAATGACAAATAAACTAGATTTTCATGTAGAGATAGTGGAAAGTATTTGACTACATGATAGCTTTAATTGTTTATATCTTATATCACTTGAGCAGAACATATGTTAGAATAGTTTGCTCTTATACTGCCTTACACTAACATCATGTCTTGTTTATTTAAGCATAGAATGTTGTAAGGTGTTGATTTCAATAGCATAAAAATATTTAGAAATAAAAAAAAGCAACAACAACAACATTAGCTGACTTTTATTCTTAAAATTTCACCATATGAAAAAGTTAAGATGGCAAACTTTATGATGTTTATATTTCACATTCTGCCCAAATTGACACATTTCCTACTTTCAATAATTCACTTTAAGCTTGCTGACAGAAAATCCTACCTATAACAATATAGACCAGAACAGCCACAGCGTATCTGTAAACACGACTGTATTCCGCCTTGTAAGCATTACTATCCTTTGTAACACTTCCATCAGGATCCTTTGTGGCAGTATTCTCAAAGCCAACAACAACCAGGAAGAACACTGCTGCCCACACTTGGAATGTTTTGTTGATCTTTCGTACAGCTTGAATCTCATTCCATTCATTAGCAACAAAATATGTCCTCCATATAGATACTGGAACCTTATATTGAATGAAGATTTATACATTATATCATTCAATCACATTATTACTGATTTAGTACACTTATATAGCAACTGAACAAAATTTGATAAAAATAAACAAAACAAAGACGCATAGCTTGCATTAGTTCATGTACTCATTTAACATAGTCATTTAATGTAGTCAAACTGACAAAGTAAACACAAATTTATACTGCCAGTTGCCATGAGCAATCTATAAGGGTAACAGGTTTGGTCTACTAGTCTGTACTACGAGCCTGCAATGTATGCATTATAAATTCAGTCATGTAAAGACAACAAAATTAAAATTACCTCTTTTGTTTTGGTAGTTTCAGCAGAATTACTAATAACACCTCGTGACCGTTCCCAATCAATGAAGAACACATCTATACTACACTGCAAGAATATCATATGCGCAACTTCTAGAAATTTTAGGGCAAATGCAGCCCCAAATAAACCTAACCAGTCCCGTAACTGTTTGTCTGTTGGATGTACAAGGTATACAACACTTTGCCTCTGAAATAGTCAAACATTTCCTTGTTAAAAGCACAATGAAATTTATTATACACAATATTCTAACATTAAATATACATTCAAGCATATTTTGTAATACTTCATTTCATATTGATATGTTAAAATCAACAGTTATAACATTGTTACACATGTAAAGTCTAAAGTCTCCATTATTTAGTATATAATTACTGTTTGATGATGATATATGTTGTGATATTAACCAAGGCCATAAGCTAGGTCAACATACTTGAATATTTACCCAAATCTTCAAAACTGCCATGTGACCATGTGTTGACCAATCACAGAACAGAATATTGTTAGACATATAATAATTGTGTTTTAACAGAGAAGGGAAACATCCAAACTTTTATTGATGCATTTAGATGATATACAATTTACATCAACATTAAATGATGAATATGATATTGATATCAATACTGGTCGCAAATGCACTATGTTGGTTTTGTCATGGCACGCCTTATATAAACTGAGCTTTAAAACAAGTTTGAAAGGCAGAATACAAACACATAAAAATTCCTGTGATATGAAATAATTTTATTGAGACTATAACTGCATGTGTATTAAATAAGAAAAGCTTTCTACACTCTTACCTTAAAAAATATGAACCAATAGAAAGCCATTCCAAATGTGACCACAAAGAAGACATTGGCCAAGGTTCCAGCACAGAAGAAGAAAAAGTTAGCAATGGTTGGAAAGTCTATACTTGGACGTCCTGACCTCTTGGACCAGACCCAGGATCTATAGCCAGCATAAATCACACCTAAAGTACTGAGTGTTCCTACAGCAATCTGGAAATCTCTACGATAGCTAGTGTCTGAATAGGTGTAATCTACATCAAATGATATCTGCAAGAGATTATTTTTAAGTATGCAAGATGTTCCAAGTAATCCATAAACGTGAAGTCAAATAAAAGACACTAGAGAGAAGACACATATTATTTCGAAAAATATCAATGATGAGTCTTTGTAATTTGTATGTATATTTGCTATGGTTTGGGAACTCTTGATATTCAATCTAGCACACAAAAATTTAATGCTCCAATATTTTTTTTACTCCTTATCAGCTATGTAGCACTTGAGTCTTGACCTTTGCATTATAGTCAAGAATCCCACCACCTTAGTCACACTGAACCAAAACAAGACAGTTGACAGGTCATCTTGCTTTGTTATTATTACATTCCAGCAGAATGATCTATTATATGTCTAGATAGTATTAAAGTTTGGCAAATCTGCATGTCTATACAGTCTAGCCAATCTCTATAGCTTTTACATACCAAAAAGCCTTAAAATAACAATGGATAGTTTAAAATTCAAAGATGGGTAAGTCCATTAGTAAAAGAGTAAAGATAAAGACTAAACAAACCTCAACTTCAACTCCAGCTTGGGCATCAGCCAGTGTAACAGTGCTATATTCTACCTGTATGGCAGGAGGGTAAATTACACCTTGTGTTGTATCAGTCTGTAATTCTACATCTATTCTAATACTCTTAGCATACCTTACAAGCGTCGCTTCACCACCTAAAATCATAATAAATAACTATAACAATTATCTTTATCAAGCTTTTCAAAAAAAAGAGAATATTATAACACTTCACACTTTCAGTTGAGAGAACAAAGTTAAAAGAAATGCAAACTTTGTCAATATTTAATGATTAAGAAATGTATAAATTGTCACAAATTATACATGTGAAATAAGCCAGAGTTTATTTTTATAGCCACAAGTTTTTTGACACCATAAGCCTTGTTGTTCATTACGGTGCCTTCATTTCAACCCTGAGATCTTAGGTATGAGTCCAGCTTGGATAACTGCTTATGTTTTCCTCATATGACAACTGTACAGTTTAGTTCCATGATGCCATCTCATCAAACTTGTTCCTGAAACGAGCTGAAATAAATATATATTAACTATGTTCCAGTCTTCATTAGTTGAGGCTTAAAACAAACAAACAAAAAGTATTATTACCAGTTGTTGGAATAAATCCAACATTATCCACAAGGAAAAATCTTCTAAATAACTGCATATCTACTTCTTCATCTGAAAAAAAAGAAGAAAATAAATTATTATAATCTTGAACCAAATGACAAACAACAGAAAATAATATGTAGCATCACTTTGTGAATTGTTTCGTTCTTATTAAAATTTTGGAATTGATCTCATTACTGTTTTGTATTGTTACTGTGTCTATGTGTTTTTTTGTTGTTATTTTTTTGGTGGGTGGGGGTATGGTTAGTCATGACATAGTAAATATTGTATGGTAACCAACTATACTGGTGGAGGAAAATATCAGGTCATTATTCAATGAAGTGTATGCTGGGACTTGGACCCACAGCAGTGCAGGGCCAGTGGTTCAAAGGCAGCAACTTTAAGTATTCAGCTACAGGGGCATCGCAAACATCTCATAATGTTTCATTTTTATAAAGTATTAATGAACACTTTACATGTTATATAGGAAGAGTATGTATATCAGAGTCCACTTCAAGATACATGTAGTTGACTTTTACTGGAGAATAAATTTATTATATTATAGATTAAGAATAAATATTGATGTATCAAAATATATTCACTAATGTGATACATTATTATCATTGATAAAACTGCTCAACCTGATATGTGAAAACTTATGATACCTTTGGCATTCAAGATTGTGAAAATAAGAATATTTATGTTTATACAAGATTAAAATAATGAAATAAAGAGATATATGACGTATGTACCTCTATTAATTTCTTTTGACAAGTCAAGACTGTAGTAATTAAGTACATTGACTGGTATAGGGAATAACTTCTTCTCGCCATCTTCTGTAATCTCTATATCTGATCAATCATTAAGGTGATTCCTGCTTCTCAAGACATTCATATTTGAAAACTTATCTTGCTGAATTTTAAGACACACAGGCACTGTTATATGGTGTCTTTCCAACTTTCCTGTTGGAGGAAGGCCTCAGGTGCCCCTTAATGTATTATATAAGGCACAAACTGGTACCTGAGTAGAACCACCAGTCTTGCGTAAGCTAGCTGGATAGTTCTTCACATGTAAAAATCTAAAGTCCCTACTGATATCTGTATAGGGATAAACAGATCTGCTGACAGACTGACAATTTTTTTACTTATATAACATAATCAGATAGCAGAAAAACCTTTTTTATTAACTAAAATAGCTGTTATTGAAATTTACTTAACAAAATGCATGAACATTATTAGTTATAAAAATTTTTGACAGATTATATGGCCCTTTATAATACTGCACGTTTGTAACATTGCTTTTCATTGGATAATCGTGACGTTTATATAGTTTTATATACACGGCTGTTGTCGATTCATAAAGAAATCTTAATTTTTTCTCTAAAAAATGATGCTTGCTGTATTATAAATTTGTTATAAAGATTGCTGACAGGTTATAAACGGCTGTTTGCAATATAACCCTCGCCTAGTGGCACCGGTTATATATTTACAAATAGCCATTTATATAGGGCCATATAACCTGTCAACAATCTTTATAACTAATATTATAAACAGTTGTTTGTACATGTATACAATGTATAGCGGTGAGGGTTATATTGCAAACAACTGTTTATATATATACGGCCATATAATCTATCAGGAATCTTTATGACATGTTTATAATACAGCAAACTTCCTTTCTTTAGGGTTAAAAAATGTGATTTCTTCATGAAATGACAGTAGCTGTGTATACAAAACTATATAAATGTCTCGATAATCCAATGAAAAGTAACATTACAAACATGAATTTTTATAAGTATATTTTTACACTGTTCTTGTAAATGTGTGCTATGAGATTATCATACATTGTAGAGTAAAATACTGAATTCTATTGGACAAGTACACAGCTGTCAAATCTATATTGTATGCAACGCTAGCGATTGTTCTGTATCGTGTATGTATTGCTTATTGCTGCATCATAACATAACTGTATATCACCAAATCAGTGCACCTCAACTAATAAATCCTAAAAATGTTAGCATTAAGTGTAACTGACAGATGGAATATTTCAATTATCTATATTGTACACTGTGGAATATAAAAGGATACACACATCAAAAAACTCAACTTGGTATTTACTCTTATCCCAGAGGTCGATTGCTGCTATCTTACACTGAAAATAAACACTAGTATTATAAATACATGATGAAAAATGAACAAAATTACATAATATTGTACATGTAACAAGTTATGTTTTCAGTCAAATGAAATTGGTTAAATCAATAATACCTTAATAGTTAGTTGAGTGAAAATGTGTATTTCATCTTAAATTTGATTTCATCAATTATAACAGGATTTTACTTTTAAATATCAATTTTATCCGGTGCTATACTGGATATATGGATAAAAAGATTATTGTTCATTATAAGGTTTATCCATTAACTATTATAACCAACTCAAAATTACAATATTAAAAAAAAAGATGAAAAAAAACTATTCTACTATTGGTAGGAAATATCTCTCTTTTGAAGAAAACTTGGTAAATATGATCAGCTATTTAAAAAAAGTTTTTTTTTCACAGCAATTTTTCAATATTTGTACTTTATGAACTTCTGTATCAGATTTTCAAAGAAGAACAAAAATATCATATATTGAAGAACGATTAACTTGTTGTTATAAATAATTTGAATGCCAGGTAGGACCTATGATAATTTCTAACTGTGTTACTTACAGACTGTGAATAAGTTGTACCAAACACAAAGGCTGCATCCAGTTTTTCTGTAGTATCAGTACACAGTTGTATACGACCATTTTGAGCTGTATTCAAACCAAGATATTTTCCATCTAAAGAGTATGTTGCTAACCTATACTCTAGCCTTGACTCGGGACTAAATGTGTACCGTGTTTGAAGACGATCATCACGTAACACATCATCGCCATCTGTTGGGTTAATCTGTGAAGCTATCTGAAAGCCTATTGTGGCATAATATAAACGTGGAACCTCTAGTGGTCTGTAAACAAATAACAAAAATCAGCAATTACATAAACAAGAATTTGTAACAGAGCTACCAACGTCCCCCGCCTCAGGAAGTTTTATATGAAGCATAAAATTGAACTATTTCAAAAGATTGAGGTATGAACCTCAGGACATTCAGTCCAAAATTATGATCAATGCTAGATCTGCAAAAGCAACAATAAATTTGTTAGAAAAATAAAATGAAACACAGAATTTAAAAATCTATCATGTTAAGCTTTGACCTCTAAGTGTGACCTTGACCTTGGAGGTAGGGGAGCAGGTCTTGTGCATGACATATCGTCTTATTATTGAGACTATTTGTGCCAAGTATTTTCAAAATCCCTTGAACTATGAAGAAGTTATAGATTGGACACAAAATATACCCTATAACAGACTATGTAAATCTTTGACCTCTAAGTGTGACCTTGACCTTGGAGGTAGGGACACAGATGTTACGCATGACATATCATCTAATCATTGTGACTATTTGTACCAAGTATTTTCAAAATCCCTTAATCTATGAAGAAGTAATGGACGGGACACAAAATATACCAAATAACAGACTCTGTTCACCTTTGACCTCTAAGTGTGACCTTGACCTTGGAGGTAGGGATGCAGGTGTTGTATTTGACATATTGTCTTATTATTGTGACTATTTGTGCCAAGTTATTTCAAAATCCCTTGAACTATGAAGAAGTTCTAGATCCGACACAAAATATACCCTATAACAGACTATGTTAATTTTTGACCTCTAAGTGTGACATTGACCTTGGAGGTAGGGATGCAGGTGTTGCGCATGACACATCCTCTTATTATAGTGACTATTTGTGCGAAGTATTTTCAAAATCCTTTGACCTATAAAAAAGTTATGGACCGGACACAAAATATACCCTGTAACAGACTATGTAAGTATTTGACCTCCAAGTGTGACCTTGACGTTGTAGGTAGGTGACCGGTTTTTGGGCATGACACATCTTCTGATTATTGTGAACAATTAAAGCAAGTATTAACAAAATTCCTTCATAGATAAGAAAGTTATGGACCGGACACAACATATACCCTCAAATAGACAATGTTGACCTTGAATGAGCAAGTGCGACCTTGACGTTGCAGGTAGGGGTCTAGTTGTTGCGAATAACACATCATCTTATTATAACAAACATTTGTGTCAAGTTATTTCAAATTCCTTTGATAAATGACAAAGTTATGGACCGGACACGAAATATACCCTGTAACAGACTATGTTAATATTTGACCTCCAAATGTGACCTTGACCTTGAAGGTAGGTGACTGGTTTTTGCGCATGACACATCGTCTGATTATTGTGAACAATTATGGCAAGTATTTACAAAATCCCTTCATAGTTAAGAAAGTTATGGACCGGACAAGACATATACCCTCAAATAGACTATGTTGACCTTGAATGAGCAAGTGCGACCTTGACCCTGGAGGTAGGGGTCTGGTTGTTGCGCATGACACATCGTCTTATTATAATAAACATTTGTGCCAAGTTATTTCAAATTCCTTTCATAAATGACAAAGTTATGGACCGGACACAAAAGTGTGACGGACGGACACGAAAGTGTGACGGACGGACGTTCTCACAGGACGTGTTTGTGGGGTTATTCCTTTGATCTCTTAACCCCACAAGAGCAAATTTTTTAACCCCATAAGAGCATTTTTAACCCCATAATACATGTCTCTACGGAATGAACCCCATACAGAGTGCCTGTACATAAACCTAAACCTCATAATGTAGCTCTCGTATGCTCGGACAGACAGACGGACGGAGCCTATTTCTATATCCCCCTTTTTTCTTCGAAAAGGCGGGGGACAAAAAAATAAGAATTAATTTTTTGTAAGTATGTTTATAGTAATCATGATGGTAGACAATAGTATTCTATTTGATATTGAATACTTACATTATCTTACTCTCTCATATTTCATTCAAAAGAATCTAAATGGCAGACATTATATTTTTGCTTCCTAAAAATTGAAAAATTAAAAATAATTTTGAAAAAACATCGTGCAATTCAGAAACAAACAACTTTTATAAAATAAATATATGCATAAAATGAATATAATTATGCAAAGTTCACTTAATTAAATCATGGTGATCATCTGTGAGTCATGACTTTGCTTGCATGTGACTCAAGATTTATAATACCGTAGAAGTGGTTTTTTCTGCGGTGACTTTAGTTCTGCGTATTCTGAGGTCAGTTTCAGGACCGCAGAAATAAAAAACAATATATTTGTTTGTAAATACTGTACAGTTTTGTGGTGACAATGATAGACAATGTGTACATGCAAATAAAATATGTAGAGTAATGTGACTTAGATCTTGATGAGATGAGCAGCAGAATTTAGATCACGATTTTTTCCAAAGAATGTGCTGCAGAAATAAAGTCTGCAGAAATAAAAACATGCCAAAATTTGGAAAAAACGCAGAATTTGCAACCTGTAGAAAAAAACACTTGTGCTGTAAACAGAAGCATCAAATCAAGCTTCATGCAACTATGCAGAGTGCTTAACAGTAAAATAAACAGCTGGGCAGTGTAGTAATTCACAAAAGGAATAAATCAACACAAAACCAAAGTTAGAATTTTTGGTCTTGATCAGTGACCTTAAAATCATTATACTGAAAACATATGTGATGTTTCAAGTCAATATATCCAGTGATATATCCCATATATCCATACTCATCTTGTGCAACTTTTCCTGTTCTTTAAAGTATGTTACAGATATTGTATAATAACTTACCTTGAAATCAATGCACTAAGATACATCTCACAGGCATTATTTAGGGTAGCAGTTGAAAAAGCTTTATTCCTATACCGATACTCAGTGAGAACACACATATTTGCTAACACAGTACAAGCTGTCTGGTTTTTGTAGAATTTACATAAGGCATATGATGAAACCAAGTTGTGAGAGAAAAATTCAGAAGCTTCACCAGACTGAAATTGAATAGAATGAAAATTAAAATTTTTTATTTCAAGCATCTAGATTAAAGCTACATGCCTCCAGATGAGTCAAAATATTTCAATGAAATCAAACTTGAGAAAAATGTACTACGATGTAAGGAAAAGTTAAAAGTTTCAAGATTCAAGTAACTATCAGTAGTTGCAGATGTAGTGGCAATATTTACACAAAGAAAAGTAATATTCCTAATGACAAAACAATTCGAAAACAATTTTGAAACTCTGAAATATTTTTTAATGCTTAATTTCACATGTAGTTTTCCATTAAACTTATTCAACAAGATATGAGATTATGCAAAAGAACTTTGATAACACAATTACTTACAGGGGGTATCATAAGCATTCCATCATCCCCAGTAGGAATGTTTGCTAAGTTTCCAGATGGTAGACAAAATCCTCCAGTCTGAAAAACACAAAAGAAATAATAAATGAAAACTCATTTTCTATAACAACAGACTTTTATTAGCATGTATCACCAACACGTTAATGTGTTCCTTTAGAACACATCTGGTTTAGCAGACATCGGAATATTAACAATAATCACATCATCTTATTTGGGGCAAAAGCACCCCTCCCGCCTCCGCCCTACTTTTTTACATATTTATTTTTCAGAATTACAACAAAATTCAGAATCTTTAAATCATTTGTACAAGACAGCACTGTATATGTGTGCTCCAGCCATAATAAGCCAACTATGGCACTCTAGAATTGTTAACCTTTGACAAAGATAAACTTAATTTCTATGAAATTACTGGTTAAATTGTTATGTTTTCAGGATAAATTATTTTGTTATCATGTGATAAGAACTATTCTATTATATTATTGTTCTTCATATAAAATTTCATATCACAACAACTGTAAAGTATCTTGGCATCTTCCAAGCTTTAGGTCACCATCAAAGTATTATTTCAGACATTTGCTGGTTAGTGATTGACAGAGATGGATTTATTTAGCAAAATAAGGCACATCTTTGTAAACAAATAAATATGAATTGTTAAGGAACTGTTGACAATCCTAAAATTGTAGGAGAAAAAAAAAGAAGCTTTTTGAGATAATAAAATTCAGCATTACAAATGACAAATAAGGAATTTGGTAATTCGAATATTAATGTTACACATACTTAAATATTCATTTTCATAAAATATGTTCCAATCCAACATGTCTCTTCCTCTTAAAGGAACTTCCCTGAGGTCCATAGTTTAAAAACATACAAGAAACATGGCAATGCCATGAAACCAGGTTTTCAATTATCACCATTGTAGATAAATATGTTGTATTTGAAATACAAATACAAGCAACAAACAATGTAACTATGTGCAATGTAAAACATGAATAATGTAGGAGGAATTGCCACTGAAGAAGTGTTCACTATAATATTATGTATAAGGAAAAAAACAAAGGGCCATAATTAGGTCAAAAACTATCCAATCACAAAGCCCCGACAATATGTGCCAGGGTGCTTGATGACAAAGCTTCTGTGAAAGTTTGAACAAAATCCGTTGAGAAATGTAGGACGAGTTCAGCACAGAAGAATTTGTTCACTATAATTATATTGATAATTCTGTATAATGAAAAACAAGTTACAAAGTAGACATGAAATAATATATCATATCTTTTTTAAATTACCTCCAAAGATGATATGACCTTTGACTGCCAAATCAAGTTAAAATCATGTAAACAGGATTTTCAATGTTAATGTCACTGTGACCTTGACCTTGGAGCCAGCCATGCGGAACATGCGTTCTGCACGTCATCTTGATGTGGTAAACATTTGTCTGAAGTTTCATCAAAATTCTTCAAAGGGTTGAAGAGTTACAGAGCGGACAGGATTTTCAATGTTAATGTCACTGTGACCTTGACCTTGGAGCCAGCCATGCGGAACATGCGTTCTGCACGTCATCTTGATGTGGTAAACATTTGTCTGAAGTTTCATCAAAAATTCTTCAAAGGGTTGAAGAGTTACAGAGCGGACAGGATTTTCAATGTTAATGTCACTGTGACCTTGACCTTGGAGCCAGCCATGCGGAACATGCGTTCTGCACGTCATCTTGATGTGGTAAACATTTGTCTGAAGTTTCATCAAAATTCTTCAAAGGGTTGAAGAGTTACAGAGCGGACACAATTTCGTTTGACGCCCGCCCGCCCATCCGCCCAATGTCACTGTGACCTTGACCTTGGAGCCAGCCATGCGGAACATGCGTTCTGCACGTCATCTTGATGTGGTAAAACATTTGTCTGAAGTTTCATCAAAATTCTTCAAAGGGTTGAAGAGTTACAGAGCGGACAGGATTTTCAATGTTAATGTCACTGTGACCTTGACCTTGGAGCCAGCCATGCGGAACATGCGTTCTGCACGTCATCTTGATGTGGTAAACATTTGTCTGAAGTTTCATCAAAATTCTTCAAAGGGTTGAAGAGTTACAGAGCGGACACAATTTCGTTTGACGCCCGCCCGCCCATCCGCCCAATGTCACTGTGACCTTGACCTTGGAGCCAGCCATGCGGAACATGCGTTCTGCACGTCATCTTGATGTGGTAAACATTTGTCTGAAGTTTCATCAAAATTCTTCAAAGGGTTGAAGAGTTACAGAGCGGACAGGATTTTCAATGTTAATGTCACTGTGACCTTGACCTTGGAGCCAGCCATGCGGAACATGCGTTCTGCACGTCATCTTGATGTGGTAAACATTTGTCTGAAGTTTCATCAAAATTCTTCAAAAGGGTTGAAGAGTTACAGAGCGGACACAATTTCGTTTGACGCCCGCCCGCCCATCCGCCCAATGTCACTGTGACCTTGACCTTGGAGCCAGCCATGCGGAACATGCGTTCTGCACGTCATCTTGATGTGGTAAACATTTGTCTGAAGTTTCATCAAAATTCTTCAAAGGGTTGAAGAGTTACAGAGCGGACAGGATTTTCAATGTTAATGTCACTGTGACCTTGACCTTGGAGCCAGCCATGCGGAACATGCGTTCTGCACGTCATCTTGATGTGGTAAACATTTGTCTGAAGTTTCATCAAAATTCTTCAAAGGGTTGAAGAGTTACAGAGCGGACACAATTTCGTTTGACGCCCGCCCATCCGCCCATCCGCCCGCCATACCCCAATCTAATAACCAGGATTTTCAAAATTGAAAACCTGGTTAAAAATCTGAATTTCTAACATAGATCATAACACAGAAAGGTATGCAAAAGATAATTAAGAAATATATTAAAAACAAAATTGAGAACGTATTTTTGTGCTACTCTTAGCCTGTCTTGAGTGAAATCACTTTTCAATTTTGAGTAATTTTTCGCAAATAGAATGATAACAATGTATACTGAAAAAACAGATTAAGTGAAAAAACGGAAATTTTGAACACAAGTTAAAATGTTAGATCTATAATCAATAAGAATATAAATCTCAAGAAATTATTTCCAGTTCAGTCATGTAAAAAAACCTGTGCAGTCTGTTAAAGGCTCAGAAACAAATAAATTTTTATTTCTTTAGAAAAAGCAAACATGAATTTTATATTAGATGCTTGTAACCTGAAAAAAAGCATTAAATGCGAAATAATTTGTCATAAAAGTAGCAAAATGTAAACAAAGTAGTATTTTCACTTCCATACAAAATACTAATTCTCTATAACTGTTCTTATTGCCAAAAAGTAACGTATGAAAAAAATGGTTTCAGGTCATTGGCCAATTGGTAGCTTTTTGGATACTTAAAAAGTACACAAAAATCAAAAAGCTTTTAAATAACAACAAGAGGGCCATGATGGTCCTGAAATCTCTCACCTGTATATAGGCCCTGGGCCAAGGCCAATTTTAAACCAGGGACTTTTATTTGAATAAACTTGGTAGACACCTATTAGAAGATGTTTCATGATAAATATCTAAGCTATAGCTCTTTTGGGTTTTTATAGGAAGATTTTTAAGTTTTTACTACATAAATATAAATAAAGGGAAAAAACAATGACCTCTCCCCCTGGGAGGGGCCAATTTTGACCCCAGGGCTTTTATTTGAACAAACTTGGTAGACACTCACTAGAAGATATTTCATGCTTAGTATCTAAACTCTAGCTCTTTGGGTTTTTTATAAGATTTTTTTTTAAAGTTTTTACTATGTATACACAAATAAGGAAAATCAATGACCCCCAGGGCGGGGCCAATTTTAACCCCAGGGCCCCTTATTTGAACAAACTTGGTAGACATCCATTAGAAGATGTTTCATGCTTAATATTTAAGCTCTAGCTATTTTGGGTTTTCAAAAGAGGATTTTTTAAGTTTTTACTATATACAAATTAGGAAAATCAATGACCCCCTGGGGCGGGGCCAATTTTAACCCAAAGGCTTTTATTTGAACAAACTTGGTAGACAGCCACTAGAGGATGTTTCATGCTTAATATCTAAGCTCTAGCTATTTGTTTTTTTTTTAAAGAAGATTTTACAAGTTTTTACTATATACAAATAAGGAAAATCAATGACACCCCATCCCCCCTGGCAGGACAAATTTTGAACTCCGGTCATTTAATTGAACAAACTTGGTAGACACTGACTAGATGATGTTTCATGCCAATCATTCATGCCAATCATTTAAGCTCTAGCTCTTTAGGTTTTCTAAAAGAAGATATTTTAAGTTTTTTCTTTAGGTTGTCATGGCAACCAGAGTTCTGCTTGGAATTAAATTTTTTGAACAATGTTTAAAGTTGACTACCAAAGGAACATTTCTGTGAAGTTTGGATGAAATTGACTTAGCGGTTTATGAGGAGATGTCGTTTAAAGTAAAAGTTTGCAGACAGGCGGCCGGACGAAAATCTCTAAAGCTCACCATGTCAATTTGTGACAGGTGAGCTAAAAATAAAAGCATTTTAGAGGCATAATGGGCCTTAAATTTTTTGTCAGATATTGTACAATGTTATTTTCCAACAACAACTGCCTGAATAATGAACTGTTCAGACTATGATTAGGGCTGGGTATTGATCAGAAATTTCCGATACGATACGTATTGCGATACAGACCAACGATACACAATACGTATTGACGATACAGTACAATGATGTTTCATTGTTAGGATGTACTTATTAAAAGTACTTTTTACATTTCATATTGAATCTTACTTATATCTTTTTTAGATTTTGACTTTGTTAATGATGATATATAATACAGAGCAGGTGCATAGGTACCTTAATTAGTACATTTGAGGTAATATTTTAAAAATGACATGATGGTCCCTTTTTTAGATAAAACAATTATTTTGAAAAAAAATTAAAAAGCTTTGTAGAGAAATTATTCAATGCAAAAATATAATTATGTAAATACTAGGAAAAGTTAACGCAGAAAATAATTAAAACATCACTATTTATTATGGCAGGAGGCTAGTACTGTCTACAAGTCAACTGTTCTAAATTATAAAATCTTTATAATAAAATCAAATTTTTGTAGAATTTGAAATATATACGCTGAGAAAGTATTGGAACATTGAAAATTTTCTAACAAATCATGTTTTTTTCTTTCTTAAACGGTAAAATTACAATAAAAATATAAATATCATGTCATGATGTTGTGGTGTCGTAATCCGTAACGTACCGGGAAACGGTGTTTAGCTACATCTTCGCGCAGTCACATTTATTTACGAATTGGCTATATTTATTTAGTTAGCAAACTACATCTTGGAAAATTAATAAATTTGTAGGATTTATGTGTTCACAATATGTGTTTAAAAAATTACAAGTAAATTTTTGGTCTAATACAAACTACTGCCGACCTGAAAGTAGTTTTTACCAGTGTTAGAAATAGGAGATTGAATGGCCGGATAAATTTTGTCACGGATTTATCCGTCATTTTGTGTATTGACATATTCGTTGTTCCACCTGAACTAATCAATGCAGCCTTTCAAATATTGATGAGGGCCTTCTTAACATTTACTTTAGAGAAAATTCCACACTTTTGACTTTTGTGCGGACATTTTAAAGACGATAGTTTTAATGTAAAGCCATCATGTTTATAAGTTATTAGGTTGTCTCCCTTTGTATCGGTATAGCTAAAACCCGATAACCGTACCGTATTGAAAAACGGAAAATCGATAAATACCGATTTACCGGTATATTGATCCAGCCCTAACTATGATTAGATGGCACAGAAATTGCATAGGTTGGGATCACTTCCCGCAAGCAACCTAACAATTAAACAGATCGAACAAATGTTTAAGTGAGTACCAGTAGACACTGCAAGATTTTTTAAACCATAAATGAAACTTAATATCACAGGTTAAAGGTACAGCTGAACTTTACTAAGGTTATATTTACCCTTTCTTTCCCAGTACAATCACAGCTGTTATCTCCACTTAATGGGTAAACATTGGTACATTTCTGACATCTGTAAAACAATATTCAACTATTGAACTTATGAGACAGGAGCACCATAATACACTGACGTAACAAAATAAATACACACATAAAGCATGTATAACATTACAGAGTAATTTAACAATCTTCTGGGTAGTAGTGAATACATGTAGTTAAAATATCATTTACTTAACAACATCTGAAATTGGCATGGTAAATAATAATTAAAATAATAAAAGAAAACATGAGCTATGTAAAGGAACACATTTTTCCTTAGCTTCTAAATAGTTTTTATTTGTTACCTTACTGTTCTGTTATTACAAAAGAATGATTGTATACTGACTAAGTTAAAGTCAGTTCTTATGTTGTTGTTTTTAATTTGCTTGAGATTTGAGACAGCATTTGATTTTCATGGTAAAAGAGTTGTCTACCTTGTGTTATCAGCACTAGGCTGGGTACCAGCTGTACATGTTTGACAATTTATTGTATTATCTCCTCCGTCTGTATACCACTGTCCTAGAAGGTCACGCTCTGGACTGATTTCTGTAAAATAATGACTTTTGGTAAGATTGATTTCAATAAAACAAAACTAACAATTTACTGTACCAGGAAGATCCTTATAAAGAATAACATTTATTGTGACACTTAACTACAGCTTTTAGAGATTGATCAGATTGGTTCACCATAGTATTTTGACTGTCTCATTACTGAAACGAAAATAGATAAGCCTTTGCCACTAGTGGAGAGCCATATCAGTCAGTACTTTCATACTGTCTTAGTAACCAGACACTATACTGTTGGTAGCTCGATTTTTTTATTTTCATATTGAAATCCCTTCAACTTTGAATGAACTGTTCCAAATGTAGGTAAATCTAGGTAAATCCATTACACAAATTTACCAGGTAACGGCTTAAATGAAAATAAGAATTTCTTACCTAAGTTATTGGAGCAAGATGTACATGTTTTAGTCGTTTCATCTATTCCTCCTGGACATTTCAAACAATTGAACCCAGAAGACGAGGCGACCTGTAAAACCAAAGAAACACATACATGTACAGCAAATTCACACAGATCTCTCAATCTTAGAAACATATTTATTTATCATATAAACCTAAGATATTTATTAATTAGGTGAGGGTAGTCTGGTGAATAAAAAACAAAACAATTTGTAGCCTCAGAGACCTTGGCTTTATGGACCCCAAAACCCTCTGTTATTACAATAACCTGTTTATAATTTTTTTTCAAAACAGCATACATTAAGTTTTACAGATAAGATACCAGCATCACATGCCAAAAATTACAACCTTTAAAACAGACCACTTATCTCATCAAGGAAATTTAAATAGCCTCAGTAATTGTTCTTGTAAATTACCTGACCAGTTGGACAAGCCTCGCATGTAATATTACCTCCACCATAGTTCTGTATGTACTTGTAACCTTGCTTACAAATACAGGAGTAACCTGTAATTAAAAAATATATATATACATTAAAAATTACATCCACTGTTGATACCGCCTCCGTGGTCGAGGGGTTAGAGTCGATGACTTCTAATCCGGTTACCTCTCTGGCGTGGGTTCGATCCCCGGGAGATGCTTTGGTAGTTTAGCACGGAGGAAGGTGGTCTAGTACTGGTGTAACTCTCCAGGAACGATGGTTAGGAAACTACCCGCCTATATCATAGTATATGACTGAAATACTGTTGGGAAAAGGCGTAAAATCAAACAAACAAACAAACATCCACTGTTTTATGCCATATTTGTCCAGATTCATAGTACACGAGATGATTTTGTGTCTCATTTTGACATTTCTTAAAATAGTTTTTCTTTTAAGTTATGTAGTTAAATCTTTTGGAAATGCTTATAGCATGTTGTTGTTTTTCTGATGTGGTATACATGTGAGTGGCTGTATGTACTATTTTTTTTAGGAGCTATTCACAAAGACAATGGACATTGTTCAACCGGACGTGAGAAGTAAAATATGAAGGAAAAAAATTATTATTATATTTTAATTTATGTGTACAGAGCAAGTCTAAATCTAATTGCAACTTCTGCATGTCTCAAATAAACATTGTATTGCCTTTAAACATTACTAAATAAAAGATTAAAAAAATAACATTACATTGCCATGAACAAGCAAAGCAACAACTTATTCAACAAGTTTAAAAACCTAATTATTTAAAAATACCAGACTATTCTCCCCTTCACTAGTTTCTCTAAGTTCTCCCCATAACAGCTTCCTACCCTGTCAGTTCTATAATCTAATATGAGATGGCTATAAATTTTTAATTTACGGTTACCTGTTTTTAAGGGATTTTATTATTATTATTTTTTTTAATATAGGGTTAGCGCACATTTTTTCGTGTTATAACGTCTGCAGAGTCCTGAGGAACGGTTGGTGCCCGAGTCCCGTAGGGCAAGGGCTCCAACAGTTCCGAGGGACTCTGCCAAATCGTCAATTTTTTTGTCTGTTTACTTGGCCCTGTATGTATTGCGCATAGGTAAAACCGGGCTATAACAAGAGCGCGTGACTATGTTAACACATGGTTTTGGTCCCGTTATAACATGGGCTAAAGAGCGAAAAATAACCGATTTTATGCTATAATATAAATATTTACCCTACGTCAAAATTTTATGAGATTTATATTCATATTCTGTATTCTTTTCATATTCGCGAATATGAATTCATATTTGGTATTTAGTCATAGACTACCCGTTTGAAAATGACTCTTTCATAAATTATTTGGCAATCGCATGTATTAATTATGGAATGCCGGTATACATGGTTAAAAAATCTTACATATTTGTATCGAATTCCGCACTGCAAAATAGATTTAGTTATGTTGTTACTTTACTAGAAGATTTAAAAAACATGCGACATCACAACTCAAAAACATGTCTGGACTCACCATCAGAGCTCGTAACCTGAAAAGTTTCATCTTGAGAACAATCTTTACAACTCAAAGTTGTAACATCATAATATTGCCGCACTGTTCCCACTGTAGTACAGCTAGACACATCTTCAAGTGGTATTGGATTAAACAATTGAGCATAACTATAGCAGATATAAATGGAAAATAAAGATGTCAATATTGATAATGCGTTAAACGCCGCCATTTTTGTTGATTCTGGATACCATTCGGTGTACTTTTGTTATTTTCCTCTTTTCGGTATCTAACAGCAGGACATTACGGACTACAATAAAGGCGGGAACATAACATATAGTACAAAAGGACCGATTACCCCTGATTAGGATCATCCTTGGAAACAGATTTGAATATGACAGACCATAGACCGACAAGCTACGAAAGAAACCGTTTAACAATTTATACTTTACTTTTCAAAATGTTTATCACAGTAGAAATGTTTATATAAATATAAAACCTTATTGTGCTTTGAAGACATTTTAGTGATCAGAAAGTACTTTATTATGCCACTTTCCCTGAAAAACCCTCTTCTTTTAACACTAACATGATATTATCTAGTCCTTTTATCAAATTTCGTTTATTTTTTTTTCTTTTACTTTTATGGCTGCATATTTGTTTTCGTTTTCACACTGTCAACATGGAAAAAGTAAAAATACACAATTCCTCTATATTTATTTGACAAAAGTCAAAAGCAATCTTAGACAATTTACAATTGAGACGCTTCACTGCCAGGACAGCTAACATCTAGACGTTTCAAAATTCACTGGCATTTTTTTTTTGGGGGGGGGGGGGGGGGGTAATTGATAGAAAAGTTACTTTCAATTGGAACACGGATTTATATTACATATATAAATCCGTGATTGGAATGACAATTAAATTTTATATTCCCTTTTTATATTATGAGTATTGTGTCTGAAAACTTATGTTTTTGATGAAAATGATAACAGAATTTGCTTTAACTGTACATTATATTCAGAAATACTATCTGAGTTATTAAAGCCGCGTGATTTATTTCTAGCCCCTGGTGACTGAGTTTTTGCCTTTACGGGTTGAGTCATTAGAATTCCAGCAATCGTTTAATGATGCGAGTTCGTAAGAGGCGAATAAATGTGTTCGAATTACTGGAATCTATACATCTCTTAGGTTCAGCAGGTAATGTGGTTTTGACCCCAGGTATTAGCTTCAAGTTTAGCTTCCGAGATTAGCCGTATCATTTTTCCTGTTTCGACGTCATGTGACCAAAAATGTGTTGGTGCGCTTTAAACCCAAAGGAAAAGACTCAAATAGAAAAAAAAATGATAAGTATACAACTTTCTAAAATCAAAAGAAATTTGTTATCAACTTCTTCCTGAAATTTAATTTCATTATTTAGTTTCCTTATTGAAAATGTAATGTAAAGTATCTCACTTTATAACAACAATAGATCAATTACTGAAAAGATATTTCAAATTTAGAGATCAAACATATATATGCAATTAAGTATCGATTATTTAATTGAACCTATGACAATTATGATATACAAACTTAAAGTGCAATGTACATAGATTTAAAGTCACTGAAGTGCCCCTATTTTCATTCAATTTTATTGTCATTTATTAATCAAAATACCGTTCATCTCATGATGATCTTAATTTTAAGAAATCTTATTAAATAAAACGTGTCAAACTGATTTTGGCATAAAAATAGGAATGGAACTTCTTGGTATGAATTGTTTTGGGAGTAAAATGTCCGTCTACCTCTCAGAATTATAAAGTATATTTTATATTTTTGCCTGTGTTTAAATAAGTGTCTAGTATGAAAATACACAATGTACTTTAGGACCAACTGAGAGAAGAAAAATAATTATAATAACGAAAACACACACACTTTTGAGAAAATAACACCTAAGTAAAACTTTCTCTCAAATCTCTTTCATACAACGTACAATTGGACATTCAAAATTCACAAAGTTGCACGAGATACAGACAAAGTTGAATTGTTTCGGCCGTTTTCGTGAATTTCCGCTTATAAGCGTACGTTACGGAACCATCCGAAACAATACAATAGCAGACGATAAAAGACGCCACATAGACAAAAGATAATCGACGCATGCGCGGACATTAAGTATACTGACAGTGCACGGCAAAATAAACATTTAACTTAACAAATAATCGACCCGTGACAAGTGTTTTATTTGAATTAGTATGTATGTATGTATGTATGTATGTATGTATGTATGTATGTATGTATGTATGTATGTATGTATGTATGTATGTATGTATGTATGTATGTATGTATGTATGTATGTATGTATGTATGTATGTATGTATGTATGTATGTATGTATGTATGTATGTATGTATGTATGTATGTATGTATGTATGTATGTATGTATGTATGTATGTATGTATGTATGTATGTATGTATGTATGTATGTATGTATGTATGTATGTATGTATGTATGTATGTATGTATGTATGTATGTATGTATGTATGTATGTATGTATGTATGTATGTATGTATGTATGTATGTATGTATGTATGTATGTATGTATGTATGTATGTATGTATGTATGTATGTATGTATGTATGTATGTATGTATGTATGTATGTATGTATGTATGTATGTATGTATGTATGTATGTATGTATGTATGTATGTATGTATGTATGTATGTATGTATGTATGTATGTATGTATGTATGTATGTATGTATGTATGTATGTATGTATGTATGTATGTATGTATGTATGTATGTATGTATGTATGTATGTATGTATGTATGTATGTATGTATGTATGTATGTATGTATGTATGTATGCAAGCATTTTGTCGTTTTGATGCGACAAAATTAATCACTCAGGCCTACGGCCTTCGTGGTCAATTCCTACGCATCAAAACTCCAAACCGGTGTTAAATAGCCGATATACACCTCTCAAGCCGATGTTATTTCTTAATCATTCAGTGAATTACCGAATTCAAAATTTATAGGTCACCTTTTGGTTGATAGTAACATTTAAGGACATGAAGGGTGACATGTCCGGAGTCCGTACTTTCAGTGCCCGAAAGGACGGATGGACCCTCATTAAGCCTAAAATACATACATACATTATGCAAGTCGATTTTTGTGATGATACAATTTTGATGCACGGGAAACCAATGAGACCATTATATGCATCATGGAGAAAAATAAAAATGAGCTTGACTGATCGATAAGATGTTACAACTGGGACTGATACCTGACACATATTTTCTGTATGCACGACCGACATGCACGAACATTCTTTCCAGGTTTTAACAAGCGAATTTTGAATGGAATTGCCAAACATTGGTGTCTTTTTCAATTTTGTATAATAATAATAATCAATGAATCAATATGTTCTTTATCTGGTATCTTTTATACTTCCTAAATTGTTCTGTCCATTGCTGGCTAATGTCTCCAAACTGATTACGATCCGCCTCATTGCGATTCGCCCCACTTTAGTGACAATTTGCACTAGACTAGTGTTGATTTGCCCCACTTCAAAAAGAAACAACAACAAAAAGAAAAACAAGAAAACATTTAAAACACACTCAAAAATATTTAAATTACAGGTACATTATGCTTTAGAAATGAATATTTTTTTCTTTTTTAGAACGATTAAACTTGATATCTATAACATTGAAATAATTGTTTTAGATATTTATTGCTTCTTTCCTGAAATGAGCAGCGCAGAATAAAATTATTTTTCATAAAAGTGCAACAGCAATATTCTGCTACTATTGATTGGATCCTGACAGCACTATATTCCTTACTACGAATAGCAATTCTTCTTGGAGATTGACAACGTAGCTGCAGTCAATGAAGATTCATTGTAAAAAAACTGTATGGTTAAGATGTTTGTAGAAAATAAAAGTAACTGCTACATGTACAAGGCTATATATAAATGTACATGTATATAAACTGAAACACTGGTACATGGTGGGTTTAGTGCACCTCTTGTGTACTTCTATGTTCCCAATGAAGTGCACAAGAGGTGCACTAAACCCACCATGTGTGAACATTGAAGTGCACCACAGATGCAAATTAATGCATATCAAGTGCACTTTATGTAACCTTTAGTGGAATCCCAATTATTTGACCAACCGAAGCAAAGCTGAACATTAAGACATGGAAATGTTGTTTACTTTACACATGGAGCAAAATATATTATATAGTATATTGTATATATGTCTGTGCTTTACAGCAAAATTTAAAGTATCGTAAAATTTGTTCATACAATGTTTTAAGTCATTTGATATATTCTTCTTGACAAAACACGACAGTTGTCATTTTATAACTAGCTAGTATTATGAATTGTATACCTAAGAAATTATCATAATTATAGAAGTAATGAATTCAGCATGCAAGTATTTAGTGGTGTTCAACATTTTAAGCTTTGTCCCTCGTCCGAAATGTCTATATGCCGTCTCGTTCATTCTATTTTTATGTTTGCAGTGAATATTCCCCCTCCCCCTGCAATATATTTATTTTATTAGTCACTTATATATTTAAAAAATGTGTGTGCTTCAGATTTATTTATTTACGTATACAAAATTCATTGATCGAATTTATTTTTGTCGGTTAGAATAAAAAATAGATATTCGAAAAAAAAATATTGACCAATAACTGGTCGAAATTATCTCAAGCAGCATGCCGCCATTTTGCAAGACAACAAACTAAAGAAGTATTATTGAGGATTCATTTACGTACACAGAAGTAAAATTATTTCTTACTTTTACGTCACAAAGCAGGTACGAAGTTACTTTCAGCCTAATGTTCATGTTTTAAGTTTCAATATTCAATAGGTGCTTTGCCGCGAATTGATTTTGGAGGCCACCTGCCATGCCATGGCGTTGGGCATATTTTTCTTCAGTTTGTAGTTTTTCTTCTTTATTTGGCATGTGGACATTAACTATTGTACGACATTTTCTCTTTCAATGAAAGTGTCACTAATATAGATTTATATGATTGTGTTAGCATTTAATATTGAATACAATTATTCACTTAGTTTCAACTCAGCATATGTAGGTCATTTCGGAACGCTATCAAAAATTATATGTGATAATGAATATGGCAAAGCCTCAAAGCGAGCTCTCAGAAAGAATTAACTTTACATAACTTCTATGTATTTAGGACTTAAATTCGTTTAAAATCGGCCTTAAAATCAAATTTCGGGGTTGGGGAAAAGGATACAGTGTAAGGATTTGAGTAATTTCAGCCCCAAGACCTAATCAGCCCCAAATAACCCAAGGCTGCCACGGATGTTTCGGCCCTTTATCAAATCGGCTGCATATTTAGTACAGAAAGTCTTTATACATTTACATGTTTTATATATTAGGCCATTATTTTTTGATATTTCGGTTTACTGACCTGCCGACTCTGTATTTTGGGAAAATGAAAAAAAAAATCTGCCCCCAAAAAAATTCTGTGTTGTCTTGAAATACGCTGCTAATAATACGACTTGTCAAAGAAATGTCGCGGTAAGTTTAATTAACTGTTAAACCTACCATATGCCAGACTATTTTACATACAATTTATACAGTGAGATACGCAACCGGTTATCTTTACTAGAGAATAGCCTGTCGTCTGCTAGTTGGGGAAAGTGTTTATTGGTGTATGATGAAAGAATGTCTGTTAAATGGGGTCAAGCCATTCTCACAGAATTATAATTAGGCTTTGATCATATTTCATCAATGCATTGAAGGTCGAAATGCGCAAAAATGTAAAAAAAAAACAACCAAACAAAAAAAAAAACACGCCAAATTACGTAAGCAATTACATTCAAGGACAGAGCTGCAATTGACAAGATCAGTATTTTCAGATTTAACAAAAAAAAATTAGTCTTTAAAAGCAGATTGAATACAGGTTTTCAAACAAACAAAATAAAAAATGCCCGCACTTACTTTTAATAGATTTTTATGTCAAAAATTGACCTAAAATATTTTCACAATGGGCAAAATTGAACATGACTTTGTGTAATCTTTTCTTGACAATTTTTTTTTAACATCTGATCTATAAAGAAATGAGTGCAAGTCAGCTGATTTTCGGCACCTTTGATGATTCAGATTACACAGCAGTGTGTAAACATCAAAGAATGACAGATTCTTTTGAAGGGCTGGCTTGCCACTTGTCATAAGTCATCGTGTGTAGATTTCATGTGTGTTTTTAAACAATGGCAATGTGAGCAAAAGTTTTTTTTTGTGTATTTAGACAATCTTTGGAATAGACAATCGGCGATGTATTTAATTTCATTGCTCTAGTAAGTACTATGTATATGTATGCACCACATTTATAGTTATGAAAACTTTTTTTTTTTTTTTTTTTCCCGCCGCCGACCCTACCTTTTTTTGGAAAAAATCAGTAAACCAAAATATAAAAAAAATTGGCTTTAGTAATCAAAATGTATAGAACAGAACATAAACTTTATCAAATAAAACATAGTACACCACACTGAAACAGACATTTATTATCAACAACTATTTAACAAAATACAACAAATTATTTGAATGATTAAAAAGCAATCTTGACGAAGACGCAGACATATATACAACGGATAGGAAGCCCCGAAAATAGATGACAGTCAGATTCAGACCTCACAATTTCACCAATTCTGAATTTAACTGTGTGATGTCACAGTTTCTTCTCCATCTATATTTCGGAGCTCCATGACGTAGAACACTTACATGAAACAAACACTTACTATCAAATATTATTTAATTAATAGTAAGTGACAAGTTTGAACAATACAAAACAACACAGAGCAGTTAAACAATTATACTTGTACTTTTAATATGAAATAAAACAAAAATATTGCAAACAGACATTTTTTATGATTAACATTTTTTACAATGAAAAGGACAGATTTTTAATCAGAACGTTACAATACCAAATACTGTCAAGAAATTATAACAAACCATTGGTTAATAAACTTGAGTTTTTTGTGTTTTTTCTTTTATAATATAAAAAACTGCTAATTAGCAATAACCTATGAATAGTTAATTTGTTACACTTTGGAAAAATAACAACATACATTTAAATAGTAAAGAGATCAATAGATAATGATTTCTGAGGTACAATTGTAGTAAACTTTGTTTATCAAAAAGTTTTTGCAGTTTGTCATCTGTCTTATTATAATTAAGGATTAGTGTCTTAATTAATTGTTACACCTTGAAAAAAAAAGCATATAATTATCTAAATAGTTAAATTAAGAGATAGACAGATAATGGCATTAAAAGGGCTGGATTGTCTCAAGGAAAAGGGTCAAACGTCTTGGGGGGGGTCTGATTTTTGCACAGGGGCCGATTTTGTTTGGGGCTGAAATGTCCTTATTGCCAGTGCAATGGGAGCCTGTTGAATTTTGATACTGACTCAGTGTCTGTGTTTATTTATTCTATATTTTTTATTAAGTTGCTTATACCGCCTCCATGGTCGAGGGGTTAGAGTCAGTGACTTCTAATCCAGTTACCTCTCTGGCATGGGTTTGATCCCCGAGAGATGCTTTGGTAGTTTAGCGCGGAGGAAGGTAGTCTAGTACTATTGTAACTCTCCAGGAACGATGGTTAGGAAACTACCCGCCTATATGACTGAAATACTGTTGGGAAAAGGCGTAAAATGAAACAAACAAACAAACAAATTAAGTTGCTTTATAATTTTGCCTGTAATTTATCATAAATTGTTCCTTATACTTGAATCAAACTTCAGGGATGTCATATTTCCGTGTAAATCCATAGATTTCAAGGTCGTCCGGATGTCATTTGTGAACGATGTAAATCTAATGAACAATGTAAATGTCTATCTCTGAGTTTGCTACTGTCTATTGTCCGATTGTTTCGTATATCTATTTGTTTAGTTATTGCCGCTTTTATAATAAGCCAATGAATGATAGCATTACATATACTGACCAGTCGTAACATAGCCTCTCTGTAGTTGAAGAAAGGAAAACCAAATGTCCGCCAATTAGCAAAAGTGATATTAGGTAATGAAAATGTTTGATAAAGCACTAAAAGAAAATGAATTCTTAAGGATGAAAATCCAGGAATTTTGCTGGTGACCCCCATGACCTCTAAGTCTTGTGTTCATTTTTTCTCTTCAAATTACCTGTTGGCATCCCTGAAATTTTACACTTTTTACATTCATTTTTATAAAACAATCGTGAACACGAAAAAAGTCCCAGATTGTAATCGGCAAGGTTTTCTGAATGTCAATTTGAATGGGAATTGTGATGAAAAAACAGTTTTATGTGTGCTTTAATAAATAATAGTGCAGGTAACCTGCTGGTACTGATTCCTGGTGTGCTCCAAATATAATAGGACAGGAACAAAAAATAACCACCAATCAAGAGCAGGCAAACTTATTACCAATAATTTTGCTGTACTTTTGGCAAAAGTATTCAAAACCATCACTTCTGGAGATACTCTCGTTCCTGTAATGCTTGAGCAGGCTGTTCGAGCTCGGTACTAAAACTTTCAGGCTTTTAACAAATTGATATCCTATACTATGTATGCATAGTTTACTCCCATTGAACATGTCTAAAATTTTCTTAATTCATAAATGTCAGGGTTCGACATTAACGGGATCCCGGGATTCCGAGGATCCCAAAAAGTCGGGAGGAATCTCTGTGATTCCTAGCTGGGGATTCCGTTGGGATCCCTGAAAAATTGCTGTGTAAATTTTTGAAATTGTCTGAATTAATATTGAATCACAAATATTCAAGAAAAATGTTAATAAAGACTGGCACAACTGCAATGTTCAAGAAAGAAAAGTAAAATCCCGCCGGTAAAATCTACGCTCTTGAATCATGTACGCCAGATTTCCTTTGTGCAGTGACTGCTATCAACTCATTTGCGATATATAATGAAAAATATTTTGGCTAAAGAAACATTCTTGAATAATTTTATATCATGCATTGACTTCATAATATTAAGTTGTGAAAATTCAAGAAAGAAATATAATTATCGTATAATTTTTTACACGAGCGGTGTGTACTTCAAATATGTGCAGATCGGCGTTGCCGGCGGTAGCTAGGAAGTTAACAATACGTGTTTTTGTTTTTTTTTGTGTGCCAAACTTCGGCATTTGTGATCATTGTAAATTTTCGTAAAAAAGTGAAAAAACAAAAAGATTACTGATGTATTTTTTTTTCTCCCTGTAGTACAGCAAAAGTATAATGAATAAATATAATAAAAAGAATCCATACTTTTCAGTTTAAAATCCTTTTTGAAACTCTGCAGCCTTAAATGCTAAAAAATATTGTCTAACTAAAGACTGAAGTGTTCTAAGGTCAATCAAGGTCACGCATAATTTACCGACAAAAAAATAGAAAAATCCTTAGGTGAAACATACACCAAATGACGTATATTTCATCTGACAGTTCTTTGGGCCAATCAGTGTTCTGAACTACATGACTGCTGTATGCGGTGAGTGCCTTTGATGTGACATATGTCAAAACTTTAAAAAAATCAATACACATAGGGAGGAAAAGAATCGGACATTTCAGTGTAAAAATTGAGAACAATAAATTTGGATATTACACATCCTGTCATGGACTTGGAGCAACTTTTTACTTTTAAAAACGAAATCATTTGAAGGTACCCTACTTGTAATGCAAACAAAACTTTTTTCTTGATATTTTAGCTTTAGTAAAAATTTAACAAAATATTTTATTTACAACAATCTATGGGATATTTCCTTTTAAACACAAAAAGTGTACAGTAAGCTGAAAATCACTTATTTTTTTAAAGTGATCATAATT